GCTGTCTGCATTTTGGGTCCAGCACCTAGCCCTCACACTAATGCTGCAAAACCAGTAAAATCATGACTTTAATCAGAAACCCTCAGCAGGTAAAAATATGTCAAGGGAGGATTTTAAATTTATGGACATAATGGATTACACTGCACATCTAAAGGAAGGCAGATATGTTCTTAACATACCCCTAAGAAATCCAGTTATGACATTACCCAATAACTTTTCTATGGCAAAGCAGACGATTCTTAGCTTGAAGAAAAAGGCGAGTATGTTTCATATATGCAAAATGTAATAAAGCACACAATTTCAAGTGTTTGTGGCAAATAGAGTCTCTGCTATAAGAGAGGCTTCACATCCTTCGCAATGGAGGCATATCTGCTCAGGGGGAAATCCAGCGGATGCTGCCTCAAGAGGAATGAAAATATCAGACTTTATTGAACATCAAATTTGGCTTGAAGGGCCCAAGTTTTTATGGAAATCTGACCAGGAATGGCCACAAGCTTCCTTTAATCCTGTGATAGAAGTTGACGATCCTGAAGTCCATAAAAGTGCAGTTGTGAATGTGTCATCTTGTAATGAATTAAATCCTACTGATCAGCTCATCATTTACTTTTCTGATTGGCAAAAGCTGAAAAAATCAGTCGCTTGGTTTAACGAGCTAAAGTCCATCCTACTCAAGTGTTGTAGAAGGACAAAGACTACCAACAAATTTTCTCAAGATGGCCTGAATGAGAAATATGCAGTTTTCCATCGTACGCTATTGCCAGCAACAGCAGTTAAAAGAGGAAATGGCAGGATTGGCTGAAAGGGGCGTGATCAGCTAACAAAGTTCCATCCATAGGATGGATCCTATTTGGGAGGACAATCTTCTATGTGTTGGAGGAAGACTGCATAAAGGAGCCATGCCAATGGAAGAGAAACATCCCATCATTCTCGGCACAGATCAGCACATAACCAAGCTCATCCTCAGACATACTCATGAAACACTAGGTCACAGTGGATGCAATCATACTCTGGCTGCTGTAAGGAGGAAATATTGCATTCTACATGGACACTGCAATAAGAAAAGGGATTTCTGAATGCAAATTTTGCAGACGTCACAATGCAAGACCAGTAAACCAAAAGATGGAAGACCTTCCAAAGCAGAGAATTACTCCTGATTTACCTCCATTTACTAATGTTAGAGTTGATTATTTTGGACCCATTGAGGTGAAAAGAGGAAGAACAGGCAAATGCTAAGGTGTCATTTTTATCTGTTTAACAAGTAGAGCTGTACATTTGGATTCTTTAAGTACCAATGACTGTATAATATAAATAAATATATATATATATATATATATATATATATATATATATATATATATATATATATATATATATATATATATATATATATATATATATATATATATATATATATATATATATATATATATATACTGTTATTGCCTTTTATTGCCTATAAGTCAATTTGCATATACTCCAGAATGTTCTAAAGAGTGATCACATAACAGCAATTGATTGCAAAGTCAATATTTGCCTAGAAAATGAACTCTATCCACCAAAAGACATTTCAACGTAATTGTAGCCCTGCCTTAAAAGGACTAGCTAAAATGGTTTCAGTGATTGCTCCATTAACACAGGTGTGGGTGGTGATGAAGACAGGGCTGGAGATCAATCTGTCATGATTAAGTAAGAATTACACCACTGGACACTTTAAAAAGAGGCTGGTGCTTGGCATTATTTTGTCTCTTCTGTGAACCATGGTTATCTATAAGGAAGCACGTTCAGTCATCATTGCACTGCACAAAAATGGCCGAACAGGAAAGAGAATTGCAGCTAGAAAGATTGCACCTCTGTCAATCTATCGCATCATCAAGAACTTCAAGGAGCGATGTTCCATTGTTGCCAAAAAGGCTCCAAGGCGCCCAAGAAAGACCAGCAAGCGCCAGGACCGTCTCTTAAAAGTGTTCCAGCTGCGGGATCGGGCTACCAGCAGTGCAGAGCTTGCTCAGGAATGGCAGCAGGCAGGTGTGAGTGCATCTCCACGCACTGTGAGGCGGACACTCTTGGAGCAAGGCCTGGTCTCAAGGAGGGCAGCAAAGAAGCCACTTCTCTCCAGGAGAAACATCAGGACAGACTGATATTCTGCAAGAGGTACAGAGAGTAGACTGCTTAGGACTGGGGGAAAGTCATTTTCTCTGATGAATCCCCTTTCTGATTGTTTGGGACCTCTGGCAAACAGCTTGCTGGGAGAAGACGAGGTGAGCGCTACCACCAGTCTGGTCTCATGCCGACTGTAAAGCATCCTGAAACCATTCATGTGTGGGTTTGCTTCTCAGCCAAGGGAGTCGGCTCTCTCACAGTCTGACCTAAAAACACAGCCATGAATAAAGAATGGAACCAAAATGTCCTCCGAGAGCAACTTCTCCCAACCGTCCAAGAGCAGTTTGGTGATGAACAATGCCTTTTCCAGCATGATGGAGCACCTTGACATAAAGTAAAGGGGATATCTAACTGGCTCAGGGAACAAAACATAGAGATTTTGTGTTCATGGCCTGGAAACTCCCCTGATCTTAATCCCATTGAAAACTTGTGGTCAATCATCAAGAGACGGGTGGACAAACGAAAACCTAGGAATTCTGACAAAATGCAAGCATTGATTGTGTAAGAATGGACGCTATCAGTCTGGATTTGGTCCAGAAGTTGATTGAGAGCATACCAGGGAGAATTGCAGAGGTCCTGAAGAAGAGGGGTCAACACTGCAAATATTGACTTGCTGCATTAACTCATTCTGTCATTAAAAGCCTTTGTTACTCATAATATAATTGCAGTTGTATTTCTGTATGTGATGACAACATCTGACATACACACATGAAAACCAGAGGGCAGCAGATCATGTGAAAATATAATATTTGTGTCAATCTCAATACTTTTGGCCATGACTGTAGTCCTGTTTACCTGACTGTGACTGGCTTGATGTGCAGTACATCCTCTGACATGGGAGTTGGCTCAGAGCTCGTCTGTCTGGCTGTGTTTTTCCTGGCGAGTCCGCCTTTTTGTATCTCTGCTTTCTTCTCATTTAACCCCAGTCGGCCTCGGCTGATTGCCGCTCACACTGAGCCTGGTTCTGCTGGAGGTTTCTTCTTGTTAAAAGGTAGTTTTTCCTTTCCACTGTCACTACAAGCATAATTCGTGTGAGGGATTGCTTTTGGGTCAATGAGTCGATGCAATCAACTGGTTTTCCTTAGATAGAAAACTTGAATCAGTTTGACTGTATGATCTGGTGAGCTGTAATGTTCCTTGAGATGACGTGTTGTGAATTGGCGCTACAGAAATAAACTGAATTGAATAGATGATTGCTACAGGTGTGCTGCGTCCAGCTCATCCTGCAGAGATATTCAAAAGGAGAGATAGCGCTCATCACAACACATAGACTAACCCAATTATCGAGAAATATAACTTCACTATAACTATTGTCTATAACTGTTAATCAAACAGATCAGACTCTGTTAATGTTTATATTTTCCTATAAGTATAAACAATAAACACAACAGGAAGAAGACAAAAAAAGCAACACTGATAACACCCAAGAGTTTTTTTTTTTTTTTTGCAGAGTGTTTAACGTTTCATCAATCAATAATCTGATTGTTTTTACTCCGTGACTGATTCCCGGCAACAGGTCCAAAAATTTGAAGTAGTTTGGTTCTGCTGCAAAGGTGCGGTGATCCGGTAGCTCACCATCATGGGTTAAAATGGGGTGGAAAAAAAAAACCTGACCCAAATAATGTCATAAATAAAAACAAAAATCAGCATTTAAACAGGGTTAAACTGTTATCCAAAAAAAACCTAAACATTCAGTAGTAGAAATAGCTAAATTACATATGTCATGGCTTTCAAATGTTTGACCCACATGCAGATCACAATCAGAAGGCAGAAAATGGTTTAAGATGTTTATTTAGGAACGGGCAACTGAATGGAGAACAGGCTGACAGAGACGCAGGAGCGGGACCGATTGCACTGCGGATTAAAAAGAGCTGATTAGAGGAAGATCATTTAGCACAGAGAATGATCCGAGGGGAGTAGTTCAGCACGGAGCCACCGGACGAGCCACAGGTGTTCACAACTCCCACATGTCAAACTGCAATCACCTGTGAGAGAAAGAGAGAAGAGAGCAGGCACAGGCGGTAGAAAACTGCACAGCACTACCAGCAGAATCCTGAAACCATATACAATTTCTCAGAAATTATTCAAGTTCATCATATTAATGTTACAGATCCAAGTAAAGTTAAAGATCAAGTAAAGTGCACTTTTAAGTTCTATCCAAGTTTAATGGAAATTTAAAGTCAGGTCAACTTAATTAATTTAAATACTGTTTCAAGAGACATTGAATTGGTTTCTCGTTTTGTTGCGCAACTCCAAAGAAATTAACCAATTTCAGAGTTTTATTGGCATTTCACAAAATCAATGAAAAGAAACTAAAAGTATCCTTAAACTAAAAAATTTGAGAAATCAAAGGGCTTTTTAAATACTTGGAGGACATATCTTCAATTTGGCCACAAAATTAACAAAAAGCGAATTATCTTTTCTTCTACAAAACCATTTTTAAATAAAAATAATTTGATATCATTGGAACGTTTTTTTTAAGAGTTTTTCTTGTGGAAAACCCAATGCGGCCCAGCCTCACCCAGACTCTGCCTCCAGCGACCCCCGGGTAAATTGAGTTTGAGACCCCTGCCGTAAAGGTTTCTAAACAGCTTGAATTTTATTCTTACTGTTTATTATTTAATCAATTACTTTCCATACTTTACAGATATTTTGTCTTTTGTTAGATTTATTTATCTGTGTAGAAAACATGATGACTAATGCTGACAACACAGGCCAATGACATGTAAACCTTCTCATTTCATTGTATCATTAACTAAACTCATCTTCCCACCCATTCAGCTCAGTGGAGGTGGTGTAACAGGTAAGGATGAACAGTGCATTTATGACGGTGTGGACATATTTGGTTAGGAGCTTCAGAAAGAGATGATGAAGCAACGGTCTGTCATTTCAGGTAGGTGACACTAGTAATATTTGTGAATCTAAACCTTTAGTTTTCCTTTTTACCCTTATGTTAAGTATCTGCCAAATAACAATGGAAATAAGCACTTGGCTAACTTGTCTTTTTATGTTGTTAATGATCTCGACGAGCATCGCTAAGTATTCTTTAGTGCATCTTGTGTTCCATTATTTTTTTGTGGAAATTCTAGTGCTTACAAAATCTATAAAAACTATATACTGTTATTCATTTTAAATTTGAGGATGTGTTAGCCTGCAGTTATTTTTTACCGCCTGTATTCTCTAAACTCGACATCAACTGAATAGGTTAGTTTAGAATCTAGGGTCTGAAGTTCAGATGGATTGAATATCAACTTTTTCAGCTTTTTTATTGTAGGGACATTTACACCAATAAAATGATTGTTAAAATACTTTATTTGATGAACTTTAACAACTTGAACAGTTGTGCATTTACATCCAGTAGATCTGCTTGTTAAGAGACCCAATGTCTAGATGATTTAGGTTACAGTAAAAATGCTTCCAATATAACCATCCACACCTAAACTGATGGATGTTTTTTAACTTGGACCAAATGAAGAAAAATCCATGATATATTGAATGTTGATTATATTAAGGTCTATTGTTTTTTCCATAATGATGTTGTTCTTATTCCGATATTTAAACAATCCCTTTTGTTGAATCAATAAAACGTTTTTAATTTGTTTTTGTATTATTTGTAATTCCTCTAAAAATTTGAATTTTAGATTCATTCTGAGTCTAAAAGTGGGAGCTGCTGATCTGACAACATGGCGACGAGAGCACCTGGTGAGTCCACCTCAGGCCACAGAGTATCAATCAATCAAGGTTTTCTTATTGAATCTTTTATACAACTCAGTTAAAATAATGCCAGGAAAAATTTAAAATGTTGTTTTACTAATAGGATATGTCCACTGCAGTGAACATCAGAATACCATATATGTGAACATGAATTATAATGGTAACCAGACAGAATACACCAAAAAAATAATGGGAAAGAGTTAAAGTTTTTAAGTGTGCAAACATGTTTTAGCAGACTCTTAATACAATATGCATGTTTTAACAGCCACACACCTTTCAGTCCAAGTTGCATTATTTCTGATATTTTTTTGAAATGTAGTTTCTCTATTTCTGAAGCCAATTCCCTTTCTGTCATAAAAAATCAAACAGAACAAAATTGAGGCCATAACAAAAATTTCCATTATGGAGGACATTTCTAAAAATACTTAAAAATACTATACCGATGTACAGTTAAAATATTTCATACAATGTATTAATAGGTTGCTGAGTGTTTTAATGGAAAACATGCTAAAATTATCATCTCAAACTAAAATTTGCTTTTTTAAAAGTATTATTAACTTATTTATTTACTTCCTATTAAATATCTTCCGTGATGCCATTTTCCTGAAAGAGAATCATTAAATTACAGCCATACCTCGGCCTCTTTTGTAAAGAAGAGCCCTCTGAAAAATATTACTAGACCATCTATGTGCAAAGGCCTCTTAGTGCCTTGAAAACATTAACTAACAACACTAAAAAGTCCAGTTGCCTCCAATTTAAGCCTGTTTGTGATTAACTAGCAAACTTTGATGACACACCTGTTTGGATTCCTTTGCATCTCTGCTAAAGCTCTTCTTTTTTTTACCAATCATAATATTGTATGTTTATAGTTCTTTCTATTGCAAAGCTATAAAGTTATATTGTCTTACCAACCTTCCTTATTGTACTTCCAGTAAGGCACAACTTTCTTCGTAAAGATTAAACACTTTAATGTGATTATACAGCGATTCCAAAAAAGTAAAAAAACGAAAGAAAATCCACTGGACTTTGTTTCCAGGTTTGAAGATACAGTGGACCCAAATATCTCACCTGTTCAGCCAGGCCAACAATTCCCCCTAACAATCCCCTTTGTTTAGGGGCAGAGACCAGTATCCGGTTTCTCAAGCTAACAAAGAACCCTTACGACCCCCATTCCCAAGGGGCAGACCCATTTGTCTGGTTCAATTTCCATGTTTCCAAGCCAAAACAAGGCCTCGAACTAGATGCTATTTCTGACATTTTTAATTGAAAAAGCTTCCTGGATGGTAAGCAAAACGTCTTCAAACTTGTTTTTTTTAAGTTTGTTGGAATGACTATGACCTGGATGACTGAAAAACTTCACCGTTTTGCAGCGACATGATTATGGTGTAGTTCCAGGATATAGATTTATAATATATAACAAAATATATTTTCATATTCAGTAAAACAGAGGATGTGTTATAATTAAGCTTGTCTGTTAGGCTAAAAGTAGGTTTTAGAAGTAAAAACCTATAGGCAGGTATTAGACATACATTTTGCAACCCACAATTTCTCAAATATAAACATATTTTTACTGGCCTGGTGTAGTATTCTGGTCTGACTTATTGAGTTTATTTTGCTGTGAGCAAAAATGACTCATAATTAGAAGAAATAAAGGCTTAGTACTGACATTAGTCTGGGTGTAAAGTATTTGTAGAGCGGGTTGTTGTGGTACTGTATATATTTGCTTTTAATTTATTGAAAATTATGCATTCTCACTCACAACTTGTCAAATACTGACCCTTTAAGTTGAAGATCCCTGCACACCAGGTCATCCCCTACATTATAGGACAGAACCAGGGGTCTATTTCAATAACCAGGTTTAAAAACCTCAAGCCCTTAACTCGGCATTGATCTAGCCTAAGGTCAGAAACTCTGAGTTTTTAGTTTCATAAAATCAACTCTAAGTAGGTCCACTCAGAATTCAACATGTGCAAAACAAGTATGAAAATGAGTCACCATGACAGCAGGCATCAGAAGGTGCCTATTTTACCTGAATGGGAATAAACATTTTAATGCAGAAATGTAAAGAATGAATGGAGAATGTGTAAAATGATGATTTGTTGCCATGGCGGCACTCCAAAGCAGCGGCCAAGAACGACTCCTCTCGACAATTTTGATTTTTTCACAAAATATGCCAATTAAGACAAAACAGACTAGACATCAAACCCGCATCTTTGATCACCAACGCCTGCTGGAGCTACAGTCACAAAATGTTTTGAATCCAGACATTTTTGACTGTTTAAAAAGCTGCAGAGTGCTACGGAAGGATGTAAACAAAAAAACAGCCGAACATAACGGTAGGAGGAAGAGATGTGCAAGACGGAGAAAACAAGGCTGCAGGGGGGGCTAACTGTGAAGCAAAGAGAAATCCTCACAGACCTCCGCTTCCATCAATCCTGCTCTCCAACATCTGCTCGTTGGATAGCAAAATGGATAATCTCCGACTAGAACTGTCTTCAAGAAAGGTGATATGTTACCATTGCACCATCATTCTGACAGAGTCATAGTTGCTTGCATCCACCAATACCAGACAATGCCATTAGCCTAACGCTATACCGTGCCGATAGAAACAAAGAACTAAGCTGAAAGACTCGGGGTGGTGAGCTCTGTGTTTACATCAACAACAGCTGGTGTAAAAATGCTACACCAGTTGCCAGCTTCTGCTTTCCAGACATCGAGAATCTGACTGATTACTGCAGGCCCTTCTATCTGCCCAGAGAGTTCAGTGTGGTTTGCATTACTGCTGTTTATGTGCCCCCCAGTGCTAACCCTAAAGATGCCATGAAGACTATACCAGGCTATCTCTGAGCTCCAATCTGCACTCAGAGGGTGTTTTCTTCATTACTGGGGATTTTAACCAGGCTAACTTGAAGACTGTTCTATTTCTACCAACATGTGGACTTTGCAACTTGGGGTGAAAACATTTTAGACCTGGTTTACTCTAACATCAAAGATAAATTCAGAGCAAACCCCCGCCCCCACCTCGGGCCATCAGATCACCTATCTGTCATGCTTATCACTGCATATAAGCCCCAACTGATCAGGGCTAAACCGACAGTTCCCAGTCTGGTCTGAGGGCGCCATGGAGACACTCCAGGACTGTTTGAATGCTCTGACTGGAACATATTCACTCTACTTCAAAAATAACATCACCATCCCGGCCAACCAACCACCCTGGATAAATGGAGAGGTTCTGAAATCGCTAAAAGCACAGAACTCAGCTTTCGAGTCTGGTGATAAGGAGGCACTAAGAACAGCGCGTGCCAACTTAAACCGTGCCATCAGCTCAGTGAAGCAGAACCACAGACAGAAGATCCAGGCTCTTTTCCACGACAATAGCAACACCAGGAGGATGTGGAAAGGCATTCGGATGATCACAGACTACAACACCCCCCATCCCCACCCCCCCCACCCCCCCCACCCCCCCGTAGGATCCAGCAAACACTGACTTCCTAAATGAACTGAACAACTTCTTAGGGAGGTATGAGGCACTAAACAGCACTCCAGCAGTAAAAGCCATTCCACACCAGGAGAATGAGGCACTAAACCTGGACGTAGCTGAAGTGAGGAAAACTCTGAGGAGAGTCAATCCAAGGAAGGCCCCAGGGCCTGATAACATACCTGGGTGGGTGTATAAGGAGTCTGCAGATCAGTTGGTTGGTGTCCTCACAGACATCTTTAACACTTCGCTGGACCAATCCATAGGGTCAGCATGCTTCAAGTCTGCCACCATTATTCCGGTCCCAAAGAAGCCTCAGGTCACCTCACTCAATGATTAGAGGCCTGTCACACTGACTCCCATCATGATGAAGTGCTTTGAAAGGCTGGTTAAAGAACATATCGTCTGCCGCCAACATTCGACCCGTTCCAGTTCGCCTACCGACGGAACCGCTCTACTGAGGACGCCATCTCTGCTGCTCTCCACCTGAGCCTGGCACACCTGGAGGAGAAGAACACCCACGTGTGAATGCTGTTCCTGTACTTCAGTTCAGCTTTCAACACCATCATCCCACAACATCTGATGGACAGATTTGAAACAGCTGGACTTCAATACAACCCTCCGCAATTTGGTTGCTAGACTTCCTCACAAACAGACCTCAGTCAGTCCGGGTCAGACAGAACACCTCTGATGTCATCAGTCTAAGCACAGGCTCCCCTCAGGGCTGTGTCCTGAGCCCCCTGCTGTTCACCCTGATGACACATGACTGCATCCCCAGGTTCACCACCAACCACACCGTGAAGTTTGCAGATGACACCACGGTGGTGGGCCTCATCAGAGACGACAGTGACCTGGACTACAGAGAGGAGGTGGAGCAACTGGTGAACTGGTGCAAAGATAACAGCCTGATTCTGAACTTGGAGAAGATGAAGGAGCTCATCTTGGACTTCAGGAAGAACCGTCCTAACCACGCTCCACTGGTCATCAACAGCTCAGCTGTAGAGATGGTCAGCAGCACCAAATTCCTGGGGGTGCACATCACAAACACCCTCACCTGGACTGGAAACACCACCTCACTGGTCAAAAGGGCACAGAAGTGCAAGTACTTCTTGCAGAGAATGAAGAGAGCCCACAAACCCCCTCCCATCCTCCACAACTTCTACAGAAGCACCATAGAGAGCGTTCTGACCAGCTGTCTCACTGCAGCGCCTCAGACTGGAAGAAGGTGAGAACAGCAGAGAGGATCATGGGGGCTACTCCCTATTCCCTCCATTAAAGACATTTAATCCCAGCGCTGCGTGTCCTGAGCCCGTAACGTCATCAATGACCCCTCACCCCCCCACCATGGACTGTTCTCCCTGCTGCCCTCTGGGAAGAGGCTTCACAGCATAAAATGCAGGTCCAGCAGATTCCAGAACAGTTTCTTCCCCACTGCCATTAGACTGCTGAATGTTTTGTAAAATGGGTTATTGTATTCTATTTTAATATAGTTATTATATTTTATCATATTTTACCTTGTCTAAAGGACATGCACTGATTGTTTTTAAAACCTAATGTGAGACAGATTTTGTGAAACAGAACACTCAGTTTCTCTGATTTAAGGTTTAGAACTTTGAGTTTTCAGAAAATACTTCTTTTGGAAATGGTCCACGTGGGAGTAAAGCACACCATCAAGTTCCACTAAAGATGGCTACACTAAATGAGGGGTTTTAATGGCCTGGTCCAAGTCCAGACTTTAATACTTGTTCAAACATTACCTTACAGTTGCAGTTCTGGTTAAATTCTCTCTTATGTTGATTGCATAAAAAATATTCTGCAAAGCAGGGAGGCCCCAACTCCACAGTGATGGGAAACAAACCTCCATTGCTAGTTAAACTAACACATTTTGTCACCATCAGTTATTAGTTTCAGGAGTTGATTAACTGCCTGAGCAAGGGTGCTTTAAATATTTTTCCCCCTTTAATCAATTGAAATATAATTGATAAATGTTATATTTGCTTTGACTCCTTTTCTTTGTTTTGTTCTGGCCTGGGGGAGGTATAAAAATATATTTAAAATGAAGATTAAAAACAATCCCTGAACACTTCCCACTATGTATAAATTGAATATCCTAATTATGTCATGAAAGGGACAGATGGACCCAGGATTCCACGAGAGACAGTCAGTAGGAAAGTTCAAAACATTTATTAAATAAAAAATAAAATGAAAAAACTAAAGTGGAGCTGCTAGGAACTGCGGCTTGTGGGTGCTACAGGAGGGGGGGGGGGGGTACCGCACAATCACAGACACTCTGGTTTGGAAGTTCACCACATAATCCTTGAAGGGGGTGCGATCCACCTGATGGGCTGACAGCTGACGTGGCACGTGTCACCCAGAGTGTCCCCAGTGCTGCACTTCCGGAGGACTGGCTGGAATCCGATCCTGGTCAGGGATACAAATCAGGCAGAAACAGACAGGTGGCAGGATCCAGGCATCGTAGAGCTCAGGCGGGGTTCCGAGTCTAACAGGGAAACAGGTGTGATGGGCGCCTCTAGAAATGTTTCATAGGGGTGGCCAGATGGGGCCTCTTAAATTCTTGGGTTGGCACACAGAAACATAATTTCCTGGTTTTATTCTACTGCTGTCACAGCAGAGGAATTCTTACTTCTTGTGTTCACTCAATGTCTGTGATGCCTCATCAAGTTAAGGATATTATCATAGCTTTTATTAGAAATCGCTTCTCAAATATTTCCTGAATTTCATTCATATATTATGAAATGACTTTTACCTTTACTGAAATTTCCATACAAATAAAGTATAATAGGCTATCAAAGAAATGAACTAGTAAAAATATAGAAAGGTCCAGTTCAGTGGAAGTCATTTATTTCATGCTTGATGCTTTTCCTCATCACTGCTTCCCTCCTTCTCCTCCTCTCTCTTCTCCTCATCCTCCTGCTCCTCCTCCTTCTCCTCCTCTCTCTTCTCCTCATCCTCCTGCTTCCCTCCTTCTCCTCATCCTCCTGTTCCTCCTCTCTCTCCTCCTCCTCCTCTCTCTTCTCATCCTCCTGCTCCTCCTTCTCCTCCTCTCTCTTTTCCTCATCCTCCTGTTCCTTCTCACTGGTTATCTGTTGCTCCCCTGTCATCTCTTTCTCTGCTTCTGCTGTAATTCTCTTCTTAAAATAAGAACAGATGTCTCTTCATGTCTGAAAATTTACCAGCCATCCACAATCACCAACTCATCCAGTTAGCTACATAACTCTGTCAAAAACACACTAAAAGCTGCTTTAACAGCATAATGTTACAGTTCACATATCCCTCTTTTCTTTCACAAACAAATTATTTGACTTATTTACTTATTATTAGTTTTATATGCTTTCTCACCATTAAAGCGGGCACGGGCTGAGCCGTAGTTCGCTGAGCGCACAAGAACGGTGTGAGTACCCGATCTGTACCTAAAGCACCATCTGTACCGGTAGCTCATTTGCGCATGCACAAGCAAATAGCGGGGGGGAATAAATTATAATTAAGGCTGGGAGGGAAAACAGCAGGTGAAAGAAATAAGCAATTAAGGTAGAGCAATCCGGCCAGATCATGACAAATTAAAGTGAACAATTATAATGACAATAGCTTTACCATTATTTAATTTAAACCTATGACCATAGTATGTATTATATTAACAAAGATGTAAATCAATAATTTAAATCAAAATTTTGATCAAACACATCTTTGCTTTTTTCTTCACAGGCTTGATGAGACGGAAAAGGAGCTATGAATTCCTGCCACCTGAGTGTAAGTTTCAATTAATGGCTTTTGATGTTAAACTGTTTACAGGAAAAAGAAAAGATAAACCATTCAATATGTCACTTTAGCAGTTTAATTTAGCCAAAACATGAATAGATTTAGAACTTTTAATTTTACATTAATTGTCTATTTTCAAGGGTGGAGTGATGATGCTACAGTATGTATAACTTAAGGATTTTTTTAAATAAGAATTATGTGCACACTTTGATGTTATTGTGGATCTTTCCCATGCAACCATTTCAAAATCCTATATCCTACATTTCCGGTAGACATCCTTTAATTAAATGTTTAACAATTTTTAAAGTTGTGAACAGAATTATTTTTTGCTATTATCATTTTTCATAACTGTTAATTCAAGTTTGATAGTTTCACCTGAGATTCCATTATAAAACTTAACTTGTAACTATTCTTTGTAGTGTCTGAAGTAAGGCTTGTTCTCTTGGGAGACAGTTGGTCAGAAAAGAGCTCAGTCGGAAACTTGATCCTGGGAATGACTGGATTTATTTCAAGGGAAGAACCAAACTCCTCAACAAGATTCCAAAAACCTATTAAGGAAAAGAAGCTGGTTGTCATTAACACACCAAATCTGCTTCATCCTATGATATCTGAAGAAAAACTAAAAGGACAAGTAGATTCCTGTTTGAGACTTTGTGTCTCTGCTCCTCATCTGTTCCTGCTGGTTGTGCAGCCAGAAAACTTTAAAGAGGAACAGAAAAAGAGGTTCTTCAAAATTCTTGAACTCTTTGGTAATCAGTCATTTGATCATGCCCTGGTTCTGATATCAACATCTAAGCAAAATGTTCCAAGCTTAAATCAAGCCTTTCAGGATCTGATCAGAAAATGCAGAGACAACTCATTCATTCTGAAGGACGGTGAACGTGAAGATTTGCTCGAGAAAATCAGTAACATTCTACAGAAGAGAAAAGAAGAACAATCAGACTCTCAACAATCTGGAAAGACTCAACAGAGAGCAGCTTCCTCATTTTCTGGTGCTACCCCTGGTCCTGGTAGGTCCTAAAAAGAGACACCTTTACTTTTCCTAAACTTTGATTTTAAGAGCGTCATTGTCATATGTACATAAATATTGAGGTAATGATCTCCCAGCTTACCTGATCTTAAGGGGGCCCCTGTCCATGTTGCAGTTGGGAGGTCTTTTGGAGGGCCATAAGGGTTACTGGCGACATCTTGACATTCCTACAGTCTATTTCAAACCATACAGGCATTAATAGATTTATTCAAACTGGATATGAATAGTTTGGCCTACTCATAAGAGTTGCATTTAATACCATTGTAATTTGACTCTGAGATTAGAAGTATGAACAGTCATATATAGTTTCTCTCTAATGCACCATTACATCTGATCGAGTGTTTTTATACTTTTTAAAGGGTCATGGATAATCTAACAGGCATAGACCCTCCGACCATCAGAAATCAAAGTGACTCTAATGTAAAAGGACAGAACGGCCCTAAAAGCCGAAGCCCGGGCAACTCTTTGTTTGCTAGGCGAACTTTGTATCCAACGCCACTGTTGCCCCAGTGGCATGCAAGTTACAACATTCAGATGAAGCAGATGCATTTCAGAAACAAATTCGTATACACATGTAGACCTAATTGACAATAGATGAAAATTATATGAAGAAAAAAACAACTCAAAGTCAAACATAGCTTTTATAAACCCTACTTCAACAGAATGATTAACAAAAACTAATGAAAAAAACCCTGGACAAAATGACGGTACCTTAAACTTTATTTTCAACAACCTTGATATACAGTCTTGTTAATAAAATAATGACAGAGTGGAAGAGAGCAGAAATACAGCTTAACTTTGTGTGAGAAAATTTTGATATATTTCTGTTCATTTTGTTTTCTACGTGTGCTGCTTCACAGGACGTGGTCTCAGGATTATGCTCTTTGGATCAACACTGTCAACCAAGAAACAACTCTGTAACTTTATCTTGGAGAAAACAAGTCCAGAGATTTCATCCACATCTCATCAAGCCAAACTGGTTGAGCAGGGGTCATGGAAGGGAAAGATCTTAACTATTGTAACACCTCCAGAAAATCAGATGGGAAAAGTCCAAAAAGGAGACCTGAGAAGCTGTGTTAATCTTTGTCGTCCTGGACCAAATGTTCTGCTGCTCTTAGTGAATCCTTCAGACTTTACAGAGAAGGACAGACAGACCCTGAAAGCCACCCTGAGTTTGTTCGGTGAAGAGGCCTTTAAACACTCAATGGTCATCATAACTAAAGAAGGAAATGAAAGCAGTTTTCCTCTAAATTCACTAATCAGAGAATGTGAGAGTAGAAAATACAACCTGTCCGAAAATAATCACCAGAAGTTAATGGAGAAGATTGAAGATATCGTGAAAAGGGACAGCAGTGCCTTCCTTAGCATCAAAGAGGATGGAGCAGCATCAACAAGGGACCAGTCACAACCATCCTTAAACCTGGTTCTATTTGGGAGGAGAGGAGCAGGGAAAACCTCAGCAGCCAAGGCCATTCTAGGTCAGACAGATCTTCCTTCAGCTTCCAGCTCATCAGAGTGTGTTAGAAACCAGGGAGAGGTTCGTGGACGTTGGGTTTCTCTGGTGGAAATGCCTGCCTTGTATGGAAAAGCTCAGCAGGAAGTGATGGAGGAATCATTCAGGTGTATCTCCCTCTGTGATCCTGTGGGTGTCCACGCCTTCATCCTGGTCCTACCTGTGGGTCCCCTCACTGATGAAGACAAGGGAGAGTTACAGACCATCCAGGACACATTCAGCTCTAGAGTCAATGAAAACACAATGATTCTATTCACTACAGATTTAGATCCTGAACATCCAGATGTGGTCAAGTGTCTTAAAAAAGATAAAAACATCAAAGAGCTTATCAAGAAATGTGGAAAAAGAAGCATTGTCATAAAAAACAGTGATAGGAAGCAGTTCTCTAATGTAACAGATTTTGTTGAAAAAAAGACACAAAGTTGCTACACAATACGGACCCTCTTTAAAGCTTTCTTGGATAAAATCCTAAAACAGGAGAAAACAATCACTAAACAACAGAGCCAACTTTCCAGTTTGTCATCACAGGCTGGGTTCAAAGGTAGGTATTTAAAAAAATGTCTTTAGATATTAAGAAAAGTTTTGTTTATGTCATTTAAAAAGATACAGAAACTACAGTAAGCAATAGGATGTCTTAAAAGCATATGCAATAAGAACAAATTAAATCACTTCGAATATGTAAATATTTGTGACATTACCAAGACTTTTTACAACACAGGAAGGTACAGCTATCAGTTTTATGGCGTCAAATTTATTTCAAAACAACAATGAGCAAAATTAACATACTTGCATGTATGTTACACTACTTCTGAGAATGGTTTATCTACCACCACATAACAAAATCCTGTCAAAACACATTTTCCTTTGCGCAAGGAGAAAATCTGTCCGAGGGCAAAAATAATAATAATAATAATAATAGATTTTATTTGTAACGCACCTTACATTTCAAAGAAATCTCAAAGTGCTACAGAGACCAAAAGAAGAAAAAAAACAAAGACAAAAATAATAACAATAGTAATAAAAAAAAAAAAAAAAAAAAAAAAAAAAAAAAAAAAAAAACTGTAGGGCTTACAGCAATACATCCTACATCGAGCGGCACCAAAAACCAACAATTACCAAAAAATAATAATAATAGTAATAATAAATAGTAATAATAAAAAATAAAGAATAAATTGTAGGGCCCACAGCAACACATCTCGCACCAAGTGGTACCAAAACCAACAATTGAAACCAACAATAAAAACCACAATTTAAAACAAAACTTACAGTTCTAAAAGGCCTGTTTAAAAAGGTGAGTCTTAAGACCTTTTTTAAAGGCCTCCAAACCTTGTGGGGCTCTCAGGGACTCTGGAAGGGCATTCCAGAGCCGTGGAGCTACTGCCTGAAAAGCCCTATCCCCCATAGTGGCAAGTTTGGTCTTAGGTTGATGCAGGCAGTAAAAGGAGGTGGAGGAACGAAGCCTACGAGAAGTAGCGTGCGATGAGAGGAGTTCACTGAGATAGGCAGGAGCAACTCCATGGATGCATTGATAGGTAAGCAGACAGAGTTTATAATGTATTCTATGTTTGATCGGTAGCCAATGAAGTGAATTAAGAACAGAAGTGATATGGTCGAATTTGCGCCTCCTCATCAGGACCCGGGCAGCACAGTTCTGAATGTACTGGAGCTTTTGCAGGTTTTTACCAGAGGTCCCAAAGAGGAGGGCATTACAGTAGTCCAACCTTGATGAGATAAAGGCATGGATCAACCTCTCAGCATCCGGTTGGGAGAGGGAAGGGCGGAGTCTGGCAATGTTTTTGAGATGGAGGAAGGAGACTTTAGAAAGATGACGGATGTGGGAGTTGAAAGTGAGGTTAGAGTCAATCCTAACTCCAAGGTTTGTGACGGTGGTGGAAAAGGGAATGTTAAGACCAAATATTGAAATACTACTGAGATTAGAGGACTGAGTTTGATGAGGGGTGCCAAGAAGGATGACATCAGTTTTATTACTGTTAAGTTGAAGAGAGTTGGCAGTCACCCATGCCTTTATCTCCTCTAAGCAAAGCTGAAGTGAAGATGGAAGAACTGTAGGAGAAGTGGAGTCCATTTTCATATACAGTTGTGTATCATCAGCATAGCAGTGAAAGGAAACCTTGTGTTTATTGATTATGTGACCAAGGGGGAGCATATAGATGGAGAAGAGGGTTGGCCCAAGGACTGACCCTTGTGGAACTCCACAAGTCACAGTATGAGTTGAAGATTTAGACTGACCCAAGGAAACATATTCAGTTCTATTGGTGAGATATGAATGAAACCATTTAAGTGCTGTACCCGAAAGTCCAATTTCTGACTGTAGCCTGTTGAGAAGGATGGTGTGATTCACTGTGTCAAATGCAGCCGACAGATCAAGGAGGAGGAGAAGAGATGGTGAGCCCTGGTCCGCAGTCATGAGAAGGTCGTTCATTACGCGAACCAGAGCTGTCTCTGTACTGTGAGCGGAACGGAAGCCAGACTGAAACTTTTCGTAGAAGTTATGGATGTGAAGATGTTGATGAAGTTGGGCTGCCACAACTTTTTCCAGAACTTTGGATATAAACGGTAAATTTGAAACAGGTCTGTAATGGGCAAGAATATTGGGGTCAAGTGAGGGTTTTTTCAGATAAGGGTGGATGACTGCAGTTTTAAGAGATGGGGGAACCTGACTGGCCCGCAAAGACTGATTAATTATGGTTGTGATTAATGGGCAAATGGCTGTAATATTAGACTTAAGTAATGCTGTGGGGAGAGGGTCTAGCACGCAGGTGGAAGTTTTCATGCTTTTTACGATCTTCTCCACGTCTGACTGGGTGACATCGGAGAAAGCTGAAAATGTATTACTTTGCGTGGGGAGAGGTATAACAATTTGAGACTCAGCTGTTATAGGGAGAGCAGACTGGATTGATGCCACCTTATTAATGAAAAAGTCCATGAATCTATTGCAATGATCTATACTGGTATCAGCATGCGTGTATGTGGAAGGTTTGACCAGAGAGTTTATGTCAGAGAATAACTGTTTGGAATTCCCACGGCTGTTCGAGATTTTTAGGGAGAAGTAATGGGATCTTGCTGCCGTGAGTGCTTTGGAATATGTCTTTTGGTGTTTGCGATAGGCTTGTTTGTGGACCACCAAGCCACTGGAGATAAACTGCCGCTCCAGGGCACGACCTGCAGTTTTCATTGTACGGAGTTCAGATGTAAACCATGGGGCTGATCTGGAGAAGGTAACTGTCCGAGTTTTAACCGGTGCATGAGTATCAAGAATACTGCGAAGACTGGAATTATAGATGTTGACATAATCATTGACAGAGGTGAATTTCGTAGTTAGTAAGATATCCTGAATATCCTGGTTGAAAAGGGTCAGATCTATTGTCTTTAAACTTCTGAATTGAATTTGACGTTTTGTTTGCATATATGTCTTTGTTAATGGCAAAGTCAAGGAAATTAATTTATGATCAGACACCCCCAAGTCTTCAACTTGCAGATTGGAAATGGGGGCGTTGTCCGTGATTACCAAATCCAAAGTGTGACCTCTTGTGTGTGTAGGTACTGAAACGTGTTGTGTGAGATGTAGACAGTCCAAGAGTTCGAGAAATTCTGCAGCAGGGCGGTTATTAGACGAGTGTACATGAATATTGAAGTCCCCCAGGATAAGCGTATTATGGGATGTAGCACAAAGTGAAGTCAGGAGATCTTGCAGTTCCATAATGAATCCAGTGTTGAGTTTTGGTGGGCGGTAAATGAGGAGTATCAAAATTGTCTCATTTTGCAATTTACAATTAAAAAGAAGGCTCTCAAATGTAGTCAGCTCCGGTAGTGGGAGGGGGGTTATAGGTAGATCCCTGCGATGGAAAACGGCCAACCCTCCACCACGGCCAGTGGTCCTAGCTTTCTCCAGATATGTATAACCTGGTGGACAAGCTTCATTTAGTGCCATATATGAACTAGGTTTGTGCCAGGTTTCAGTAAGGCATAATATGTCCACTTTTTTATCACATATGTGATCAAAAATAAAAGTGGTTTTATTGCAGAGTGATTGAGTATTGAATAGTTCTATTTTTAATTCGGAGTTGGGCTTAGCCTTTGGGAAGGTCCGAAGTAGACGAAAATCCACCCCGCGTCTTCCCTGTCGCCGCTGCTTTCCTATATTGTCTCTTGTGTTGGTCGTCTTCCGATGACGTAACCAATGACGTGTTGAATGTGCGCCACGAGAATGTAGCCGGTGGATGTAGTATGGGCCGGTGATGAAGCTAGACAAATCTTGTCGGTGTTCGTGGTGTAATGACAGACCATGGGAAGAGTGGGGTCGATGGCGGTTCAGCCTCTGAGACCAGGGGCCAGCCGGAGCGGTGTGGAGATGCCGTGCGCACGCAGAGTGGGGGTGCAGGGGGGCTAACGGTGCCATCCTCGGCTTAAGCCAGGAAGACGCGCTGCTCCTGGACTCCAATGACCCCGTCCCGCTGATGCCCTCGTTCAATCCAGTCGCAGGAAGAGCACAAAAATGAAGGTGAGGATGTTGCAAGGCAGTGTAGTGTGTATAATAAGAGAATACCTGTAAGTTATCGTTGATGCTCCTGTTCGGGGTAGAGTCGCCGTGAAGGTAGCTTACTTCTGATGAAAGGTTTAGCGGGCCTGGACACTGGTGGATGTCCCCAGATAGAAGCAAGCAAGCGGCGATGATGAAAGCGATAGTTTGCCGTGGTTTTAATGCAGTTTTGGATTGAGATGATGTCGGGCTGAGGAGTTGCGGATAGATGAATGTGGTGGCCAAGACATGCCTGCCAAATCCAAAGTGCTTGAGGGCTTGCCTTATTTTTGTTTTATTTGAAAATGACAGATCAGTCCCATATAAATAAGAGTCCGCTTGTGATCGACCGTTGTCAGAAAGATTGAGATTACTCATCAGTATTGTGTATATAAAGAAAGCCGCAAGTACTCCTATCAAACCAGGCGCCGCCATCTTTCATCAATCAATAGATTGCTAAATGCTTTCGAGAACATAGCAATCCTCAAGCTTGGCCGGTGCATAGAAAATCATGCGTGTGGGGAGATCTGAGCATGATCCCACATGTGCTTTGGAGGAGCAGTCGTGTGCAGAGAGCGATTTTTTCCTCTTGAAGCGGCAGATCTAAAATGTCCATTAGTTTGGATAGCTCTACCTCTATCTGATTCTCAAACACAACAGTGAGTTTTATTATAATAGGTATACGATGTTTGATATTAGATAATAACTTAATGAAAAGGTGTCATGGTCTTAAATATTGATTTGGCCCATCTGCAGAGTACACTCAACAGTCAGGAGAAAAGTTTAGGGTTTAGAGATGAACAATAGTCAGGACATCTAGGAAATGGGCACTTGGCCGGAGAGGACAGCTTGGTGTCTGGAGGGGAATGCTGGCCACTGATTTTGACTGAGGTTGAAGAGAAGGTTTGGTGAATCAAAGAATAGTCTTACAGTTGTTAAATATGCAAACCACTTGGGGGGTTCTGATCGAGGCTGGGTGGAGTGCGAGGAATTCATGATCATAGAAGCTTGGATCCAGAAACAGCCAGCTTAAACTTGCAACCAGAGTTTTACAAGAAGAGAGAAACTAGGTAAACCACAAAGGCAGAGGAACTAGTGGCAGTTAGACCTCTGGCACAGAAGCGCTGGCTGGAAACATGATATACAAATGTGCACTATTTTGCTGAGTGAGATGGGACGTTTTATGTAGATGTGATTATTTCTTGTAATAAAAAACAAAAGAAAATAATTCAGCTTTCAACTGGCTATAAAATACGAATGACACAAAAAATTATGAATTTTTAGCAATTTCACAAAAATTAAACTAGGTACCCCAAGGTCCCTAAACTATTCCAATGAGTAAGGAACTCTCCTCCAACATCAAGCCTTTTCAGGTTGAGAAACATGGTCTTAGATTCTAAGGAGCTGATCCTTATCCTTGCCACTTGTAGGTGTTGGTTGAAGGGAGCCAGGTGAGTCATGTCATTTGCAAAAAGCAAGGATGAAATCCACTGATACAAAGATCAGAACTCTTCTGGCCCTTGAGGATTGCCGTTAAGGGGGGGGGGATTGTCTCCTGTAATACCTGAAACCTGTCTATGATTTCAGGTATTACAGGAGACAATCCCCCCCCTTAACAGCAAACCCCCTCCTTTAATGACCGACCTTCAGAATCATAGACAGGTTTCAGATATTACAGGCTAACAATGAAACCAAACGACCCATTCAGCGGTTACCATTTGCATGTTTCCAAGCAATGCAAGGCCTTGTCTATATAAGACTCAAACTCATTGTGAATCCAGACATTTGAATTGAGAAAGCTTCCTGGAGAGGTGGCGAAACGTCTTCAAATCTTGGAAACCAAGTCCAGTGGATATTTTTGAACTTTTACGGAATGACTATGACCTGGATGACTGAGAATCTTCATCAGCATTTTTATCAACATTTTTTCTGCTTTAACTAATAAACACCAAGTGTATTTTTTATTAATTTTTTTTTCTTTTAGTACGGTAATATTAAACAATCAACCAGATAATCAGTCAGTCCATGTGAATAAGGAACTGTAATCAGCTTACCGGCTGTCCTTCACAGTTCTTCTTAGAAACCTTTTGCACAGTTTGCACTTTGCATATTCTACCATCACTGTTTGGCTTGCATGCTGTGCTACTTCCTCAAACAAGAGTGAGAGGTCAGCCACACCAAAACTACACTCTTTGATTGCATGAGGTTTAGTCCAGCTAGTTCCCATCTCCAGCAGGCAGAGCAGAAACTAGCAGCAGAGGAGCTTGGCAGAGGGGAGTGGCTTCCTGGCAGTTCACCAAAACAGTTTGAGTTAAAGTTGGCATTGCTCTCACTATTCTGGTTTTGTCGTTAAACCTAACACCCTTGAGCTGTTGAATACACATTTTAATTGTTGCCAAATTTAGAAAAAATATGTTTGTTTTTTTTGTTTGATTCTTGAGTTTTAGTTCATTGTTATGCATAATTTCTCAGTAAACTGACCATTGGTTCCTCTATTACAGGAGATAAAGACAAGTGGATAAATGATCATTCTGAGAATGGCCTTAGGATTGTTCTGATTGGGAAGACTGGTTGTGGAAAGAGCTCTTCAGGAAACACTATCCTGGGTAGAACCGAGTTTAAAGCTGACGTAAGCCAAATGTCAGTCACAAAGTGCTGTCAGAAATCCCTGGGTGAGGTAGAAGGTCGTCCTGTTGCTGTGGTGGACACTCCTGGCTTGTTTGACGACAGTTTATCTCACGAAAAGGTGCGTCAAGAATTACTGGAATGTATTAGCCTTCTGGCACCAGGTCCACACGTCTTCCTGGTAGTGGTACCAATTGGAGGAAGAATCACACCCGAGGAGAAAGAGACATTAAAACTTATTAAAGAAGGTTTTGGGCAGAATTCTGAAAAGTACACCATCATGCTTTTTACCAGAGGAGACTTGCTGAAAGGTAAACAGTCCATAGAAGAATATGTTGAAAAAAGCTGTGATGTCTCCTTCAAAAAGATTATTGATGACTGTGGGGGATACCATATGTTTGACAACAATGACACCCAAAACCGCAGACAGGTTATAGAGCTGATCAGAAAGATTGACACCTTAGTGGCTAAAAATGGATGTTTTACCAATGATATGCTGCAAGAGGCTGAAACAGCCATACAAAACCAAATTCAGCTAATCCTGAAGGAGAAAGAAGAAGAAATTGAGCAAGAAAAGAAGAAGCTGGAGGAAAGACACCAAAAGCAAATGGAGGAAATGGAAAGAAAAATGAAAGAAGAAAAAACACAGAAAGAAAAGGAGTTGAAGGAGAAGGAGGAAAAAATTAAGGAGATAGAGAAAAAACTTCAACAGAGTGAGGAAGAAAAAAAGAAAGAACAAGAACAGAGGAAAAAAGAAGAAGCTAAATGGAAGCGTGAAAGAGAGGCTTTGATGGGAAACCAACCGAAAGGTAATTTCAAAACTCCCGAGGCCTTGGAGAAGGAGAAGGAAACTTTAAGGCAGAAATGGGAACAAGTTGACAAAAAGTGGAAAATTGAAAAAGATAAACTTGAAAATGATTATGAAAGGGAAAAAGAAGATTATACAAAAATGATGGAGGAGGAAAGAATAAGAAAAGAAAAGGAGGCCATTTATAAACAGCAAATGCAGGATGTATTCAGGCAAGATTTACAAAAATTAACAGAAAAGTATGAGGAGGAAGCCCGACAAAAGGCAGAAGAGCTTAATGAGTTTAAAGAAAAATATTTGAAAGAATTTACAGCCATGATGCTACAGAAGGATGAAAAATACAATATGCTAAAGGCTCTCAAAGATATGAAGGAAAACAAACACAGAAAGGAAATTACTGATGTGGTGAAATGTGTGACCAGAAAAAGAGAGAATGTGAAAAAACTGAAGGACATGCTGTCAAAACAAGAAGAAGAGATGAAAAAAGCCAAAAGTCAACAGGAAATGACACAGCGGGGAGAAGAACACAACAAAGAGCTAAGTGATCTGATTCAGCAGCTTATGGGTGAAACTGATGTAAAGACTAGCTGCTTCATTTCCTAATATAAGACGTCCAAACATCACGAATGGAACTTTTCATCACCTTAACCCAGGCTTTCTCTTATCGACATTTGTACAGAAATCTGTAGTCAATGAAAACAACCTGCTGCTGATAAAAAAAAACATGCAAAAACTCTATAGCAACATTACTATTGGTGATTTCTTCTTAAATGTTCAATATCTGGTGAATAAATATTTCCAGGTGTTTTACATTTTTTTGTCTAACATCTGAATTAGAATAACTATTAGTTTAACCAACGCTCCTACAGAAGGTCCAGCTCATGATACAGGTCTGCTGTTATTGAATTCAATTCATTCAAATGTACTTTTAAATCCTCAGGCGAAATGGGGGTTATTCTAACTATTAGGTTTTTTCCAACAAGTTGTTTGGCACGTTAATAGCTGTAGGAAGGAAAGATATTTTGTAGACATCTGTCTTGTGTCAAATCTGGAGAAGCCTTTGACTGAAGGAGGCATAGTGAGCAACAAAATCTTCTGATTAAATGGAGAACAAACATACAATAGCAGCCATTCGAAATACCCCTTCCCAGTCAAATGCCAGCCGAATGGCAGCCCACTTCCCTCCAACTCTCAGAAGAATACCCTCCAACTCCCAGCCGCTGTCCTTCTCAAGGGCGTGCATATTTTTTTATGACTCCACCCTTTCACTGAATTATAGGGTCTGACCAGGATATGATGCTTCTCTTTAGATCTTAATGTCCCCAAACTGTGAAAAAATTATGTTTTAGTACAAAGATTGATGTTTAAAAAGGAATTGTAGGGGACCAGCCAAGGGGCCCATGAAGGAAAATGGAGAAATTTTGAATGGCTACTACTGTAGATGTAGAGGATCCATGGCCAAGCTGGACGATGAAACATTTGAGGTGTAACAGAGAAGCTTTAAACTTCAGTGTTAAGCTTTTTTTTTTTAATTAAACCTACTGAAGAATGTGTTCAGTTCATTGTCTTTGCTGTTTAAACCTGTGATCTTCTTTCCCCTGACCACATTTCTTCTAACACTTGCTCTCCAGATGATTCCTGTATGCCTTTGTGTGCTCTAGTGCAACAGTTTTAACAGAGCTCAAAATATGATAGAGGTGAAATGCTAAATTATTAGGAGTTAAATAGATAAATAGCGCTTGAAATCATTACGCCTAAAACGTGATTGAAAGCTTAAAAACATAAGTCTGAAAACACTTTATTTCTTTGTTCTCTCCTTTTTACAGACAAAACCAATCAAAATGTTATAGATTGATTAACTTTAAAATATATATTTTTAGTAAACTATAAGTTTAAAAGATTGAAATTAGATGAGATTATGTTTCATATATCTGTAACATTGTTTTGAATGTATTTAGATTCAAAAGTGTGTGCTATCATTCAGTATGATGATGTTCAAACTCAGAAGAGGAAATGTAGTGATCTAATCCTGCATCTAAACAATCTGAAATGATTTACCAGAAAAAAATTAAATCTGTGTTTTAAACAATCTGCCTGCTCCATTAAAGCTAAAAGGCCTCTCCTAGTGTTTCTTATTTCAGGCATTAGAAAGTGTTAAAGGTTAATTTGTTTAAATGTGTGTCATTGTTTATTCTTTTTTTTTTTTTTCTATTTTGTGTTACTGCTCACTGTATAGGTTTTGCTCATGTCTTGTGTTTTATGTGAAAGCTTCAGTCTGCTTTAGTGAAATTCCATCGACCATTTTCTATTGTCCTAGAAGGCATAGCTGTGGGATATAGAAATGAGAAGGCCAGAGGTCAGGGCCACTGTTCATCAGTGCAGTGGTCAGGCAGTGGCAGGATTTTTTAAAACATGACTGGAATAAATTCTATTAATACTTAAAGACGATTCTTTCCTTTAGTACACTTTCTGAGAAACATTCCTTCTTGAATTCAAACCGGATGATGATAAAAGAAAAGGGACTGTTTTTTATTTTTTTTTGACGGATTTAATGGAGAATTTTGATGTCACTAATTCCATGCCAAAACCAGACTAATTAAAAAAGTATATAGAAAGTTGAAAGTGTGTACTTTGGATTTTTGATTCACTTCATTACCGAGTTCCTTTACTCATGGTAAGAGATGGGGAGTATTTCTAAGACAAATATTTGAAATATGTATTTCAAATACAAAAAACTATTTGTAATTTGTATTTTAGTGATTTCAGTGGTGATGAAAATGCCTTCGTATTTTGTATCAAAATACTTCAGAGTTCTGTATCTTCATCTTCCAGCATTGAAGTCACGGTGCGGTAAGCCTAGCGCCATTCTCCCCGCTTTACAAGCTAAATCAATGGGAACTACTAGACACATCTGCAATCAACAACAATTATTGAAGATTTCCAGAGGACTTCACCATTGAAATTCACCAGAGCTATAGTAAAACTGACAATGCCCACGTGCATGGCAGCTGGATGCTGGAATACATCGGGTAAAAGTGAAAAAAAGAGTTATTCCACCTTTCTGATTCCTGATCCTCCACGGACAGGTTGGTCGTTGGATCGCCAACTTGAAGAGGGAGGATTTGCCATCGAACTTCTGGCCAGAGAAAAAACCCGTAATATGTAGCCGACATTTGGAAGAGGAATGTTTTCAAGATGACTTGGATAATAGCGCGTTGTGACAAACACCAGATACAGCACTGGGACTTGATCAACAGCCGATACCGCACCGTGACGTCACTAACCAGTAGGTGGCAGTAGTGTTCTTTGACAAACATGGATGCCTCCAGTAAAGCACATTCAAATTATGAAAATAAAACAGTAATTAATTTAGTTTTAATAATAATAAGTAATGATCACAATAAAAAGTTTCAAAAGTAAATAAAATTGCAGCATTCATTGTTCAAATAAAGAATAAGAATGCAAGTGCAGAGATAAAACAGAATAGTTTAAATAACCTATAGACACAGTCACACACACACACACACACACACACACACACATATACATATATATATATATATATATATATATATATATATATACATACAGAGCTGTGAGACCTCTCTTCTCTTCTCTGTAACCCCCTCTCAGCCAGCTTGCTCCACAAGGCAACTTGCTTTCACTGTTGAGAACATTGAAAGACCACAGCACATGAGATTTCACTTTCTTTTCCATGAACCTCCAAGGGGGTTCACATTGGAAGAGACCACCATGGCAACCCCGGCCCAAAAGGCCCAGATCTCCAGAATGATCAAGGATAAGTCATGATAGTTGACTTTTCATAACCAAACTGCTGCAAAACAGATCTTACAAAACTTTTCTCTTACAGAGGCAGATAGGAAGAGAATTCTCCTGAAGATCCCTTGGTGTGAGCTGCAAGAAAACCCCCGTTTACTGTTAGCCTGCTCGGCTAAGGTGCTGCTGGATGAAACTCCACCGTCCAAAAGCTTTTTAGCTTCACCTACGCCGTTAAGAATTGTAGTAGTAAATATGTAGTCATATGTATAGTTTAAGTGTAATGGTACAAAAATCAAATTAAAAGCATGTATTTCTATTATGCTAATTAAAATGATAACTAACACCTAGTTAAAGTTTTTTTTTTAAATAAATAATCTGAAAAAAACGTTGATCATTAGTTAAAAAAAAATGAAAATAAAGCCTAAGCAGAGGTCGAACTTAAAAACATGGATGCTTCCATTCATGCAATCAGAGGCTCATCCCTCTGTCAAGCAGCTAATTAGCATTCAACCACACCTCCTCGTAATCCAATCAGCATCAGAGTCCTGCTTAAAAGGATTCAACTGAAACGGCCCCCATTTAAAAGGGGTGGACCAGTTCAGCCTTTTCAATTTGCATGTTTTCTAAACATAAACAAGGCTTTTTTTGGGCTCCAGTAAAAAACCTGGAACTCAACACTATTTCTGACAATTTTAATTAAAAAAAGCTTCCTGGATGGGAAGCGAAATGTCTTTAAACGCCATTGGATTGTGTTTTTTACTTTTTTGGAAAGAGTATGACCTGGATTAGTGAGAATCTTCACCAGAACCAAAGTTTTTTCAGGTCCCTAAACAATTATAAATTAAATTACAAAGTACCAGTGGTCTTTAAACTTCACTGCATCTGCAAGTGGATTTTTGAGACTACCCTGACGTGCCTCGATACACTAATGGATTTTTTTAAAAAAGGGAATGGTTTGCCATCAATCACAAAGCTCCCTTGTATAAGCCAATCACAGGAAAATACTCCATGTGGGATGACTTACCCACAGATTTTACTGTAGCAGTTGGGGTGGCAATTGCCAGCCCAGAAGAAATCCTTTCCACCCCTGTCGCCACCCCTTTAAAAACATTACACTGTTTGAAATTTACGGGCATTTAAGAAGAAAACAGTCAAATTTCACAGTGGACATGGATGTATCCTCACGCAGCAAGCTTCTCCTACATTTCTCTTTGCCACTCCTATTTTAAAAGTCTCTTTCTTTCCAAAATAGTAGCTTCATCTGGTCTGTTCCTGTTTGTCTGTGACTTCATCCTGGAGAGCAATATCAGCTGTGCTGCTGCCATCAACACCTTTGTTTCTAGATGTTGGAGCTTGGCCTGTTTTCCAGTGTAGTCCTGTTTCTCTGACTGTGACTAACTGGATGTGCTCTCTTCATCCAATGACATGGGAGCTGGCTCGGACCTCGTCTGCCTGGCTGTGTCCTGGACGGGGCCGCCTGTGGAGCTGGTTGACAGTTGCCTTTTGTATCTATGCTTCTTTTTCTATGTCTGCTTCTGTCTCCTTGAACTCCAGTCGGCCTCAGCAGATGGCCGCTCACACTGAGCCTGCTTCTGTTGGAGGTTTCCTAATGTTAAAAGGGAGTTTTCCTCTCCACTGTCACTACAAGCATATTTGAGTCAATGCAATCAACTGGTTTTCCTCAGATAGAAAACTTTGAATGGACTGTATGATCTGGTTAAATAGTCTCTATAAAGTGCCTTGAGATGTTGTGAACTGGCACTATATAATGTAAATAAACTGAATTTAATTGGAATCTTTTATGCCGACAGTGCGCAATGACCAATACGTTTTTTTTTTTATTTTCTTTAAACATTAACTCAGCTCATCTTCCCACCCAATCTGCTTAGTGGGGGTTGTGTAACAGCTGGATATGAGTAGTGCTTTTATTCCAGCGTTGACAGATTCATGTAGGAGATCCATGAAGATGTGATGGAGCAACATTCTTTCATTTCAGGTGGGTGATATCTGTGTGACATACAACTAAAACTTTTTTTAATTATTTTTTAAGCATGTATTTGGAATCCGGTGAACCACAATGAAAACATGCTCTTTGATTTCTCATGTTTTGACCTCACTGATGATACATTATAACTAAATATTATCAAATGAATTTGTATCAAATGAATATGTGTCAAAATTATACATATCTTTAAATTTGAAAACGCTTTGACTTGCAGTTCTTTTTTAACCTTACTTATCTAAAGTTGACATCACCCGAAAAAGTTAAAATTTAAGATCTAGGGTCTGAAGTTCGGAGCAATTGAATGTCAACTCTTTTTATTGCAGGGATACATATAACTATAAACTAAGTCCTTATGGGATAAAGTTTAACAACTTTAGTAGGTGTGCATTTACCTCCATTGCAGCTGCTTATCAAATCATGTGTAAGAAATGCAGATTGTAGATTATTTGGGCTTCGATAAAAGTAGTTCCAGCTTCACCACAACATATGTGCTCATTATTTAATTCGTATAAATATCATGTTAGTGTAACCGATGTGGATTAAAACTCTGTTCTTAAAAGTAGTAAGAAAGTCACAGGAACATTTGACTTTGATTTTAGAGGATCCAGATCATATCCTCTCTGCCAATCTCCATCTCTGCATTAAAAGCTCTCTACATGTAGCAAAGTGTGCCTCAGGGATATAAAAATGAAAAATTGCTTTGATTCATTGAGTTGATCGAAACTAACATGATTTTTGATGATCATCATTAAAATTTGATGATTTGATGATGATTTAATGATGATTTTTTTATTTTGGTCTCTCCTATTGATCTTTTGGAAATAAGCTGGATTCAGACACAAAATGTTAATCCTGACCTGCACTACCATCTATTTAGTGAGGTGGGGCTTTTTCCTTAACACCTCTAAACAGGAATCCAGAGTTTATCATCCCCTGCCACAGATTTTAACCTGGGAAATACAATTTGTAGAGTCTGAAATGAAGCTTGGGAGTTTGTGTTTTTTGTTTTTAGTTTTGTGTTGATGCACATATTTTTGCTCAAGAAGAACAGATGACAAAACTGTTATGAACCTGATAAAATGTGTTTTGGGTATATGCTATTGACATGGTTAAAATCGGATAAAAAAAATAAAACAGAACAGAGACAAGCATTTAATTCATTAAGGATGTTTTTTAATCCCTCTAATCCCTTTGTATTTTAGGTTAATTCTGAGTCTAAAACTGGAAGCTATTGATCTGACAACATGGCATCTGGAGGACATGGTGAGTCCATTTAAACCAACCATGTTTCGGTCGACCTGTTTGTTTATCTGATTGTATATTTGTTGAAACTTCAATATCACTTTGTTCATTACTGCTATAAAACAAACTGAGGTACTGCCCACATGTAGTAGGATATCAGGAAAAAATTGACATTTTTGTGCCTTTGAGCCTCATTAACAGAGTTATACATTCCTTAAAACAAATGATCCTAAATAAGTATAGAATAAGAAGTTGACATTGTACAAACACTGTGGCTTTTAGCCAGTTTGTTTACATGAAAAAAAGGATACTACACTGCATGAAAAGTGGGATTTTCGTCAATATACGGCACTGTAGATTGTCGTGGAACTTCAGGTTAGCGGCAGTATACGGCAATTTGCAGGCTTCGACGAAAACTCCCGTAAATTGTCAGAAATTGACGTGGAATTTCTTAGGCAGTGTTCCCCCCATGCCTCCCCCCCCATGGAATTCTAGGGGAGGCTTTAACATGTAAATGAACATGCTGTGAGCTATACAAATGCAAACCAGGGTTGCAGGGGGGGTTTTACCCCCCCCTGCAACCCTGGGTAAGAAAATCTCTGATACAAAGAGATCAGGTATAGCCTCTTACATTTTAGCTTGAATTGATTTATTTAATTAAAGTATAGAGACCAAAACAGATCTTTAGCTGACAGAGCAATACATTTAGAGCAGTAATTATTTTTTTTTTAATTTGCATTTAAGATAAAAAATAAAATGTTGTCTGTCAATATGCTCAATTCACAATTACTTAAGTGGAAAAGTTTCAAGAAATGATTCTGAGATGATTCACTTTATAACATGGCGCATTATCCTGTTGGAAGTAGCCATCAGAAGATTGGTACACTGTGGTCATAAGGACATAGGTCAGCATGCTAAATTGGTTTTAAGTGGCCCAAAGTGTGGCAATAAATATCCCCCAAATAGATGGTAGAAATAGATCAGGCTCAGTATAGCCTAATTATAGACTCTTACATTTTAGCTTGAATTGATTTATTTAATTAAAGTACGCTAGATTACTGTGTATGCAAATGTTATGTAAAAAAAATACACAAAATAATTTACTTCAAAAATTAGTTTTAATCAGAATCAGTTGGCTGTAATGGTTAATTTTTTTTTTAGATTTCCACTTTTTTTTTTTTGTTATTGAATATATAAGAAAACAATAACAATCTCAAATAACAAGTCAATAACAAATATTTCAATACAAGAAGAAATATCACAACTCCTGCTTTTGAAAAATAAAATTAAATGCACAGGCTGGAACAAAGTATAAAATAAAATAAAATAAATAAAAATAAATAAAATAATAATAGTAGTTAAAGTAAATTAATCAGTGGGGACTACCAACTGAAATTCTTCAATTAACTCAAACAATTTAATTGCATTTAAATTCTGCATCTTTCTCAGACATCTTTTGAAAAGGGAAAGTTCATTTTTGAGAGCAGAGATTGGGAGGGAGCATTTTGCATAGCGACATTTATGGATATAATACTTTGTTACAATTATTAGAATATTAATTAAAAATTCCAAATTTTTTTTTCTTTAATGGATAAACCGAATTGAATGTTTTGCCAGGAAATAAAATCTAAATTTATTGTTTTAGTTTTTGGGAATATATACAAACTATGCTCTAATTTCTAGATACCGATCTGTTTTTACTATAATTTAATTTGACAAACCGGGTCTTCTCTACATTCTTTTTTCTGTTTGGTGCGATTGCAATAGCGGGTCTTGATCTGGACGGACCGGAGGGGAGCAAAAAATAGCTCAGCTCCGTATTTTGACGGTGAAGGACGGAGAAGACGTACGTGGGCGGTGACGAGCGGAGGATGTGGAACAGCTCTCATTGATTTACATGACAGACAAGTAATACAGATAGTAGGATGGACATTTTATTAGAAATAAATCATACACTGTTCAGAATACGAAACATGGGGCTGATAGTTACATTTGTGTGGGTTCCAGCACATATTGGGGCGGAAGGAAACGAGAGGGCAGATAAAATGGCAAAAAGGGCAATTAAACATTCTATTAGTTTTATAGTTAAAATAAGTAAATCAGAAGGAAAGAGTATTATTAAAGAGAAACTTATGGAAATTTGGCAAAAAAGGTGGGATGAAGATAAAACAGGAAGATGGTTTTATAAAATTCAGAAGATGGTAGGAGAAAGAAGAAATGGAAGAAGAAATAGAAAGGATGAAAGAGTGATAACAAGGTTAAGATTTGGTCATACAGGACTTAATCATACACTTTTTAAAATACAAAAACATAAAACGGGCAAATGTGATTTCTGTGATAAATATGAAACCATAGAACATGTTATATTAGAATGTCATAAATATGAAAAAGAGAGAAGATATATGAGAAGAGAGTTTGAAGACATTAAGGAGAAGGTTAATTTATTAGATATACTGAGGAAAAATTTAGGGAGTAAACACATACAAATAATTATTCGATTTCTAAAGAAAACGAAATTATTCCATAGAATTTAATTATAGTAAGTGTGTTTGTGAGTGAAGGAATGATATACAAAGCTGTGCACAAATATGTTTATATTTTTAAGTGTGAATGTTTGAATGTATGTTTAGAAGAAGTTAGGGCAGAATGTATCAGGATCAATATTTAAACCATCACGAACCACACTCCATACCAGTAAGTGGCGGTAATGCTACTAACAGTTTGTTGCCAACCGCCATAAAACTCGACAAGAAGAAGAAGAAGTGAGACAAGTACTCCGTACGTGAGCGGGGCGGAGCGCTGACGGAGTATGTGGAATCTGGGGGTAAAGGAGGACAAATACACGTCCGGCTGGGTGCAGCGCCGGACGCCGGACAGTGCAATGAAAATCCGGACTGTCCGCCCTAAAGCCGGACATCTGGCCACCCTATCTGCAGTCGAGCAACTTTGCGGGATATATACGAACTCGAGGAAGAGAAGACGGGTGCACAACGCCACGCTAGCGGTAAATATGTTCGATTACTGGTAGCTATGCTAAAAGCAGCCTAGCTTAGCTAGGCAAGCTAAAAGCAGCCTAGCCTAAAGCTTTACTAAAGTGTATTTTTTGTGATTCACAGGAAGCATTATGCCGTCTTAACAACTCGGAGACTAATTGCAGGCGCTATGAACCGGCAGGGGTAAGGTTTAAAGAATATGCTTTCATTGTGCGGTAAAAGGACATGGATACGGATGGATACCGACCATAGCTGTACTTTTTTTTTTTTTTTCACAGACTACAGTCGCCTCACAATGAGGCGGTGACCTATTTGTTTGGATTTGCACGATGTTGATAAAGACGACATTGTGTGTAAGTGACTTGTTTTAATGTTTTCTCCTTCCTTGTTACTGTGACTTGCGTTTGATTTTTTTTTATTTTTTTATTCATACCACTCTCATTTAATTGTTTTCCAGCTGCCTGTAAGACGTATTATGAGACGGTATGCAGGAGCTTCAGATACACGTTGCTAGCCAGCACGCTGCGTGCGGAGGCCGCCAGGCTATCTGCTCGGAGTCGGGCCAGAAGAAAGAGGGTAAGACTTTATTTGGTGACTATTTTTCAGGTGCATTGATAGATGTGTTGTGTCCATATGCAGTGCGCTGATTCATGTTTTTTTTCAGCTGCTGAAGGCGAGGCAGAGTGTGCTAGCAGATGAGGAAGTGGAACTCTGTAAGTCCGCCACCGTCGACCTCATGTCCGACGAAGAAGATGGCGTCGTCGGCGGTGTCTCTGGATGGATTGTACGGTCGCCGCCATTTCGTAGGCCGGATCTCACTGAACTCTGTGTTAAGCTGCAGTCCCGGTTAGAAGCGATGTCGAAGTACAGGGCCACGCACAGTAGGCGTCTGCACATCGGACCTGCCTCGGAGGGAATGCTGCCTGTTACCTCCAACCCCGAGGAAGCAAACGGACCGTTCACGGAGTTGTAATTTTTAGATACGCATGTGTTTGGATACGCGTTGTATATAGTTGTGTGTGTTTTAATAAAGCTCTTTCTTAGCATAAACAGCTTCCTGGCAAATGTTCATTTCCTGTATATATTCATTCATGTCCTTGATGGTAGCATAATAATTGTGTAGTAGTGTAGGATAACATAAATACACAGCATATGAATGAATAAATATATGAATGAATAAATATATGAATATATATATATATATGAATGAATAAATATATATATATATGAATAAATATATATATGTAAATATATATATATGCCAACCAATCACGAGCGACTTCACTTGTTTAAAAAGAAGTGGTTCCGTCCAATACTCAGTAAGAAAATTAAAGCCTGGCGTGGCCACGTGTGGTTTTGCTGCCAATCACGAGCGATTTCATTTGTTTGAGAATAGTGGTTTCAGCCAATACTGAGAAGGTTATTCAAGCCAGACCTGGCCAGCCGCGCGGGTTTGCTGCATTCATATGCTAATTAGGGCCATTAGTACAGCTGATCGCTCTCCACCTACGTCACTGTCCGTTTCCGACAATTTGTGGCACGACAAACGCGGACAAGCACGGGTTGCAAATTGTCGGAAACTGACGAAAATCAGGCAGATCTGCGGGAGTTTACGGGGACGAAAATCTCACTTTTCATGCAGTGCTAATTTCTGGCATATCACCATCTGTGACAAATATTGCTGTCCTGTGTCCCACATTTACGACCATTGTTTATATACTTGGCCACCAGTTATTGGAATAAAGGCGTTGAAAGTAACGGTGTTACTACCCTTTTTTAGTAATCGAGTAAACTAACTAATTACTTTGACTGTAACTATAATGATGTTACCATTGCCAACACCCCGTTACTGCACATTACTCCGGTCGCACAATGAACCTTTTTTCATGATGGGACTCGTGCGCGCCTTGTCATGAGAGAGGGGAGGATGAGAATGGCTGATGTATAGTGAGATTACGTCTGTCAGTTGGGTAGGTGGGTGTTTCCGCTGGCGGGTACAGCACACACAGAGAGATGGAGAGTGAGGAGTATGGACGGACGGACGGGCGGATGTGGATGTTGCAGTATCTATAACAACCCAAACACACAGGATTCCAGAATTAGACATCCCCAGTTATTAATGTCACTCACCAGATCTAAACGCCCTGTTAAAAAAATTCACACCCATGAGTAGGGGTAATGCAGCCTGGTGATATTTACACCGCATCAGATCCTGTTCCCCCATGTTAAACAGGGGGAACGCTATCTGACGGGGTTTATAGGCCCGTCAGACTCTCTGCAGGTTCTTGTCTTTGTCGTCCGCTCTATTCAGCTGGCTTTTAAAACACATGGCGATAAGGTGGGGGCCGGGCGGTGAGGGTTACGGGGGCGAGAAACACAAAAGTAACGCAATAGTTACTTTTACTAGTAACTAGTTACTTTTATTGGGGAGTAACTCAGTTAGTAACTCAGTTATTTTTTTGGGAGAAGTAACTAGTAACTATGACTAATTACTTTTTCAAAGTAACGTGCCCAACACTGTTTGCCACACAGCCTTTATAAAAAAAAACTGACATATTTCTGCTGGTTGGTATGGATCAAAATATTTCAAAAAGAATCCTCTATGCAGAATCCTCTACCAGAAAGGACACTGTAAAAAAATAAAATAAAACAAAATTAATAATAATCTATACTAAGTTTTCTTCTTAAACTTGTATGCTATCACCACAAATAATCTGAATGTAATCTGTGTAATGAGGTTATATTCTTTAAAATGCATCTATTAATTAAATGAACTATCAGTATAAATGAAGGAGAATTAAGCTAAATGATGGCCAAACCTCAAACTCTTTTTCGAAATGAGTGCTCTAAACACCTCTTAATGACTTTGAAACATGAACATAAAACCTTGACCAGCCACACCTATTTTCATGATTGTGCCAAAGCTCCCTTATATATCAATCAAAACATTTTATTTGATAGGGATTTCTCATGCAAAACTATAAAGTTATTGTCATGATGGGTCTTAGGTTCTTAGCCCACATGCAGAACACAACGGAGGCTGGGTAAAAGTTTAACAGAGTTTATTGAGTATGCACAAAAACACAAGATCATGAACTGGATCAGGAACTGGTCACTGGCTGGTTCACTGAAGTCTGCAGAGATGATAGTTTGATTAGGAAGCAGGTTGATGAGTTATGAGTCTTTGATAATTCAAGAGTATACCTCGATAGAGTCCGGGCTTCTCTTTGAGAGAGAGGGAACCGTTGGGTCCAGACACTGTTTGTTCAGCAGAGTCCAAGAGTAGCTGCAGCGTCTTGCTTCTGACTTTAATGGCAGACCTTGATCAGAGTTTCCAGCTCTAGTTAAGAGCAGCAGGGGAATCCACATAGGAATCTTCAGGTTTGGCTCACGAGGGCAATCTCGGCAGGTTAAGCTCATCCAGAGCCTCAGGTAGAGACAGGTTTCCTGTGAGGCAAAAACAAGGGAGAGTTAGAATCAGATCTCTCTCAAGAGACAGCTAAGATTCTTCAGGTTCAAGGCTCAGGTCGCTAACCAAACTAGGTCAACACTGCGGCGTCGAAGCAAGGTCTGGCAGCTGGTTATAAAGGGCAGGTCTCTTGATGAGTAGATGCGTCTCAGGTGTGCTGGAAGACTCCAGCTCCAGGAGACCCACGGCAAGGACCAAAAGCATTGACCAACAGCATGAGCTACAACTGCTGGGAGCAATGACATTAATCAATCACTAAGGTTACAGACATGCAGATAACTTTGCAATCCAGCAATAGGGGAAACAGCTTTAAATAACAACTGCAAGGAGTAGGCTAATTTCTTGTACATGAATTATTAAGATCACAGTGAGTAATAACCACAATAGCAGCTAGAGATATACACATATGCAACATGTGCAGCATCTACATGAGTAACATAGACATCAAGCAAAGCCACATATCAACAACATAAGCCAACAACATCTACCCATTTTGCATGTGCTTATTTTTGCCATAAATTGAACCCCATCCTGGTGCCAGTTTACCTGCTTTTTGTGCCTCGTTAAACCATTACATATCCTAAGCACGTACAGCAAAAGTTATGCATGTTCTGTGTTTTGCAGCAAATCTATCCTTCAAATGTTGTTGTGTCTGTTGTGTTTTATTTAGGGACGGGACTTTAATAAGTTCATTCGATTAATCAATTAGAGACATTTTATCGTGTTAAGAAATTAACGCAATTAATTTTATTTTCTACACTATATAGATACAGACACTAGTGCACGCCAGTTTTAATTAATGAAATGAATGTACAATCCATCCATTCATCCATCCATCTTCTTCCACTTATCCGGTGTCGGGTTGCGGGGGTAGCAGCTTCAGTAGGGAGGCCGAGGTCTCCCCCTGGGCCTCCTCCCGGTAGGTCGTGCCTGGAACACCTCACCAGGGAGACGTCCAGGAGGCATCCTAACCAGATGCCCGAGCCACCTCAACTGGCTCCTCTCGATGTGGAGGAGCAGCGGCTCTACTCTGACTCCTCCCTGAATGGTTGAGCTCATCACCCTATCTCTAAGGGAGAGCCCAGAAATAAGAAAACTCATTTCAGCCACTTGTATCCGGGATCTCATTCTTTCGGTCATAACCCAAAGCTCATGACCATATATGAGGGTAAGAACGTAGATCGACCGGTAAATCGAGAGCGTTGCTTTTTGGCTCAGCTCTCTCTTCACCACAACAGACCAGTACAGGGCACACTTCACAGCAGATGCCGCTCCATCTTCCCCTCATTCGTGAACAAGACCCCAAGACACTTAAACTCCTCCACAAGGGGCAGTACATCCTCCCCAACCAGGAGACGGCACTCTACCCTTTTCCGGCTCAAGGCCATGGTCTTGGATTTGGAGGCACTGATCGTCATCCCGGCCGCTTCACACTCGGCTGCGAACCGCTCCAGTGAGAGCTGTAGATCATGCCCTGATGAAGCCAATAGAACCACATCATCTGTGAATAACAGAGATGCAATCCTAAGGCCACCAAGACAGATCCCCTCAACACCTTGGCTGCGTCTAGAAATTCTGTCCACAAAAGTTATGAACAGAATCAGTGACAAAGGGCAACCTTGGCGGAGTCCAACCCTCACCGGAAACAGGTCCGACTTACTCGTGGCAATGTGGACCAGGCTCTGACACCGGTCATAGAGAGACCTAACAGCCCCTTACAACAGGACCCCCCGAGGGACACAGTCAAATGCCTTTTCCAGATCCACAAAACACATGTAGACTGGTTGGGCAAACTCCCATGCACCCTCCAGAATCCTGCTGAGGGTATAGAGCTGATCCAGTGATCCACGGCCAGGATGAAAACCACACTGCTCCTACTGAATCCGAGATTCAACTATCCGATGGACCCTTGTTTCCAGAACCCCGGAATAGACCTTACCAGGGAGGCTTAAGAGTGTGATTCCTCTGTAGTTGGAAGACACCCTTCGGTACAATATACTAATGAATGTACAATGAACATGTATAAATGAAATAATTGATCTTTTGGTTGTATTAAACTTACCAATTGGCTATGAGAGCTCTTTGGTTTATTTTCTGAAATCTCTTTCAGCCCTCCGTCTCCACCTGTCCCCTTACTTTTTAGCCAAGTTAGCAAACTCTTTAGAGTCACATCATGTCGGCTATAAAAGTCATTGCGAAGTGAGAGAAAGAAGTATGGAAGAACTAGCTAAAAATGTTAGAATAAACAGAATTGATTAAGAAATAAAACATTTTTTCCTCTGCAATAATTCAGAGGCTCTGTGTTCAAGCCCCACTTCCACAGACTGCAACTCTGGGTCCCTGAGCAATAAAACTCTTAACCCCATACTGCACTCTGGGCGCCCCACAACTGCTGCCCACTGCTCCCCAAGGGGATGGGTTAAATGCAGAGCTAAATTTCTCCAATGTTAGATGAATAAAGTTTAATTATTATTATTATTGTCGCATGTGTCACTATTAGGTCTAATATAATGTAATAATGTTTTATATAGGAAGGGGGGAGGGCTACAGGGTTTAGGATGGATATACCTGCCTTTTTATCAACGTCAATGATGACTAGAGGTACAGAATGGGCTTAGAAGCTTGAATATTTGATCACTCTTTTCTGACCAACTGTTATTTCCAAGCAGCGTTAAGTAGTGAATAAGTATCTACTTCAGATCAGAATTTTCAGACAAATGTTTCCTACTCTAAGAGTTTTAATTTGAATGATAAAATGTACAGTGGCTTCACACACATTTTTAGTTGTGTGGAACATACATCGGCATGTTGGGAGGCTGACTGAACCCAACTCAGTGTGGAAAAGTCTTATTAAATGAAAGATGTGAACAGATTATTGCATCACTTTAGATTTGGTTGGTACAGCTTTCTATTGTGTTAGACACTTCAGATTTATTTATGTTCATTGTGTTTTCTTATGCTGTTGTGCTTCACAGGCCGAGGTCTTAGGATTATGCTGTTTGGAGGAACTCTCTCAAGCAAGACACAACTATGTAACTTTGTCCTACAGAAAAAAATTCTGAACATTTCATCCACAACTTTTCAAACCAAACTAGTGGAGCAGGGGTTATGGAAAGGAAAGTTCTTAACTATTTGGACACCTTCAGAAAGTCAGATGGGAAAAGTCCTAAAAGAGGACATTAGAAGCTGTGTCAATCTTTGTCCTCCTGGACCAAATGTTCTCCTGCTCTTGGTGAATCCTTCAGACTTCACAGAGAAGGACAGCAGGTTTCTGAAGGCCACCCTTAGGTTATTTGGAGAGAATGCCTTTAAACACTCAATGGTCATCATGACTGAAGAATTGAATGCAACAAGTTTTGCCTTTAATTCACTAATCAGAGAATGTGAGGGTAGACAGTACAGCCTTAATGAAAATAATCACCAGAAATTAATGGAGAAAATTGAAGATATTGTGAAAAGAAACAGCAGTGCTTTCCTTAGCATTAAAGATGATGAAGCATCGAAATGTGACCAGTCTCTAACATCCTTAAATCTGGTTCTTTGTGGGAGACGAGGAGCAGGGAAAACCTCAGCAGCCAAGGCCATTCTAGGTCAGACAGATCTTCCTTCAGCCTCCAGCTCATCGGAGTGTGTTAGAAACCAGGGAGAGGTGTGTGGACGTTGGGTTTCTCTGGTGGATCTGCCTGCCTTGTATGGAAAAGCTCAGCAGGAAAAGATGAAGGAATCATTCAGGTGTATCTCCCTCTGTGAACCTGAGGGTGTTCACGCCTTCATCCTGGTCCTACCTGTGGGTTCCCTCACTGATGAAGACAAGGGAGAGTTACAGACCATCCAGGACACCTTCAGCTCTCGGGTCAACAACAACACAATGATTCTGTTCACTACAGATTTAGATCCTGAACACCCAGATGTGGTTAAGTGTCTTAAAAAAGATAAGAACATCAAGGAGCTAATTAAGAGATGTGGAAAAAGAAGCATTGTTGTCAAGAGCAGTGACAAGAAGCAGTTCTCTAAAGTAATAGATTTTGTAGGGAAAAGGGAACAAAGCTGCTACACAATAGAAACCCTCTTTGAAGCTTACTTGGATAAAATCTTAAAACAAGAGGAAAACTTCTCCGGACTACATACAAAATCTTATGGGTCCAGTGGTACGTATTCTAAAACAAGGATTAAAAAAAAAGAGAATTGGTTATTTTTTTAAGGCATTTTTTTTTTCATCTTCAGTGAGCAAAGTATTTTCTTAAACACTTGAATCATTTGCAATTTAAATAAATGATCTTACTTGGCTACTTTGTAGATCATTCAGATCTAGAAAGATCTGATAGATCTATCATTTTGCAATCTTTGTACCGCCATTTACATATAATATGCAAATTAGGTAATAATAGAATATCATTAGAATAAAAAAATGGTATCACATATTTTGACTGATGGGAGGAATTTTTAACAATATACATGTTTTTAACCCACGTTATAGAGTCTATAGTTATTCCTGTGTTATTGCAGTTGAGGGCAGATTGATGGGTATTTAGACATTAACTGTCCATAACCAAGTAGGCCAGCTTGGTGAGGCCCCTATAGTCCTTGGTGTTACAGAAGTTTGGCCAGAGTTTCTGCATTCCTGTTCAGTTGGTTATCACTTCAGATTCTCCAGGAAGGTTTTTTCATGATGGACTATTTTAATAAAAGTCTCCATGTGTAGTTAGAGAGGAATTGATGTGATACCAAGTGTAAGGTCCCTCCACCCAAGTGTAAATGTGAGCCAGTGTTAGACAATGTGGGACCACCCTGAGTTCGAGAAAGCCGTTTCACCATCCCTCTGTGGGATCCTTCTGGCTGCCATTGGTAAACTGTTTATTTTATTTCTGTTCCCAGTAACTGTCTTCATCACCAGTGATGGCAGTCAAAAAAGTCCTATTTGATATCAGGGTCTATTAAAGCTATGTTGTTCACTGGGCAAGACAAGAGATCAAATGTGAAAAACTGCGGAAAAGTATTTACATACATAGCTGAAAAAAGTCCAAATTTGCTGCAAAAGCCGCTATGCTGTGTGATGTCTTCTACAACAGTAGCTCCCAGACCTGGTCCTCAAGTACCACTGCCTTGCATGTTTTGAATGTGTCTCTGTTGAGCTGAAGCAGATCTTGTTCTCACTGCTCTGCCATTATCATTATACCTAAAATGAAATTGCTAATCTGTTGAGTAGATATTTTAATTGATGCATAATTTAAAAAAGCTATAGTTATTTTTGTTACTTCCTTGCATTCTAGGGAAGTTATTTGCTACTATTTCTGAGTAAGCTGAGCTTTGGTTCTTCTGTTACAGGAGATAAAGACAAGTGGACAAATGAGTGCCTCAGGATAGTTCTGATTGGGAAGACTGGTTGCGGGAAGAGCTCTTCAGGAAATACTATCCTTGGTAGAAAAGAGTTTGAAGCTGACATAAGCCAAAAATCAATAACGAAAAATTGTAAGAAATCAATGGGTGAGGTGGAGGGCCGTCCTGTTGCTGTGGTGGACACTCCTGGTTTGTTTGATGACAGTTTAACACAAGAAGAAGTGCAGCTAGAATTGGTCAAATGTCTTAGCCTTCTGGCACCGGGTCCACATGTCTTCCTGGTAGTGGTACCAATTGGAGGAAGACTCACACCAGAAGAGAAAGAGACATTAAAACTTATTAAAGAAGGTTTTGGGGGGAATTCTGAAAAGTACACCATCATCCTTTTTACCAGAGGAGATATGATAAAGGATAAGCAGTCCATAGATGATTATGTAGAAAAAAACTGTGATGATTCCTTCAAAAAGATTATTGATGACTGTGGGGGATACCATATGTTTGACAACAATGACACTCAAAACCGCAGACAGGTTATAGAGTTGTTCAGAAAGATTGACAACCTGGTGGCTAAAAATGGATGCTTTACCAATGAGATGCTGCAAGAGGCTGAAACAGCCATACAGAACCAAATTCAACAAATCCTTAAGGAGAAAGATGAAGAAATGCAGAGAGAAAGGACAGAATTAGAAGAAAGACATCTACAGGAGAAGGAGGAGATGGAAAGAAAAATGAAGGAAGAAAGAGCAAAATCTGAAAATGAGATGAAGGAGAAAGAAGACAAAATTAAGGAGATTGAGAAAAAGCTACAGCAGGCTGAAGAAGAAAAAAATAAAGAACATGAACGGAGAACAAAGGAAGAAGCTAAATGGAAAGATGAGAAAGAAGCCTTGATGAATGCTTTTGAATCAGCAAGTATATCTAAAGAATTTGCTGATTACTATGCGAACGACCAAAACCAATCAAAAGGTAAAAAGAAAACTCTAGAAGCCTTGGAAAAAGAGATGGAAACTTTAAGACATAAGTGGGAAAAAGAGGACAAAAAGAGGGAAAAGGAAAACGAAAGACTTAAACAGGATTATGTAAAGATAAAAGAAGATTATACAAAACAAAAGGAGGAGGATGAAAGAAGAAAAGAGAAGGAGGTAATGGACATACAGAAACTGGATGATGTGTACAGGCAGGAGTTAGACAAACTTAAAGAAAGATATGAGGAAGAAGCCAGGAAGAAAGCTGAAGAGCTCAATGAATTTAAAGACAAATATTTTAAAGAATTTGCAGCTCAGATGCTACAGCAGCATGAGAAGTATAATATGCTAAGGGCCCTCAAAGACATGAATGACAACAAACACAGAAAAGAAATTGCTGATTTAGTGAAATGCATCACTAAAAAGAAAGAGAATGTGAAAAAACTGAAGGACATGCTGTCAAAACAAGAAGAGGAGATGAAAAAGGCCAAAAGTCTACAAGAAATCAAAAAACAGGGGGAAGAACACAACAAAGAGCTAAGTGATCTGATTCAGCAGCTTTTGACTGAAATGGATGAAAAAACTGGCTGTGTTATTTCATGAAATAAGACAGATTGTACTAACAGGACAGACTGAACAGTTCATCCCCATCAGGCTTTATACTAACGGTAATCAGGAATCTGTATAAGGAAGAAAACCTGCTGATTTCTATTAAAAACATCCCTCTCTGTAGCAATATTAACATAGGCAATTTCTTATGTTTTCAATATCTAGTGGAGAAAAACATCTGTTCATTTGAATTTTTTCAATCAAGAGGTTTAACTCATGATATATGTCTGGTGTTATCCAGTGTAAAAAATATAGTAGAACCTATGTGATTCCAAAAGGAAATAAATGTTGTCATAAGCCTTTTCCTCAACAAATGATTGTAGATGTTATAAGCTGTTATTTTTTACTTGTTTCTTTTTCTTCTCAAGTCTACAATCATCTCCATGGCTTTATCAAACTTGAAGATTATTGTTTACATTTTATGCCACAAAGCAGTTTACCAGCTTCCTGTACTCAGCTTCTTGTCCATCCTTCATAAACCCAATGACTGAGTAGCCCGAATATTTCTGCAAAGTTCTGCCGACTGGACTGAATGGGGGTGCCAATATCTGGACATAGTGTCTTACGTCTTGCTCATACTAAAAGCAGTGTGAGCTGTTGGGCAGGAATGGTGGAAAAAATCACAGTCAAGAAGTTGTGACAAGACTGGCCCAGCTATTTTTCTCATTTGTCAAATTAGTTAGTTTGGTGGATTGATTTTACTCTGAAATTCACCAGGGTTTGATTTTTGTCTTTGCCAAGACACCTGACCTTTCCTGTTCACCACATGAAATTCTGGAGCTTAATGAGGAGTCTGCTGTGACATTTTGTCCAATTTCTTTCTTAGCATAATGTTCAGCCGCATGGCCTGGGTATCAACAACTAGAAAAGAGGAGCAGCACAGTATTTTCATTTGTTTGAGCACAAACACATAGAAGTAGGACGTTTCATGCCATGCAGCTCCTTGTGTGTGGTATTTCTTACATAAGACTGGAAGTTGACTGGGTTTTTATCCTTAAATGCTTTTAAGCTCAAAATGAAAGAATTTGTATTTACTTCAATTATCTGTAATTTTTTTACTTGACATGTTTTTTTATGTACCTGTCATTTGATTGTATGTATTTCTGTTCGGTATGTAACTTTGCTTCCACTTGGCCAGGACTCCCTTATAAAAGAGGTTTTTGAATGTTTTCCTGGTTAAAGTTTAATAATAAAGCCTAGTAGGAGACAGGGTCAAAGAAGGACACAATATAAATTTGATTGTGAGCAGGACAGAAGGATCTTAACCTTAGGGTGACCAAATGTCCGTATTTCCCGGGACATATCCGTATTTCACGTCCTGTCCCGGGCGTCCCGGGTTTTTTTTTTTAGAAAGTGAGGAAATGTCCTGATTTCACTGCGCACGACGCTCCATGTGACGTAATCCCTGAGCCGCGTCAGTGCGGGCAGCCCTGTTCTTAATCAGAGGCTCTGTTCGAAAACCTAGGACGCATCCTCCAAGGACGCGGTCTACCTAGACTGGATCCTTCGAAGTCCTTGAAAATAAGGAGGCTGCCACAGTTAATAAATATTCAAAAAGACAATTAAACCTTGATATCATTAAGCCTGAAAAGTGACTGAAGATTTAAAAAAGTCTGAATGCAATGTGCTGATCTTTCTCTTTGCACCTTTAATTTAATAGAAAAGCCATCCAAACGTTACTCACTAACATTAAATTATTGTATTTTTTTAATGATTTTGTGTACACATTTCAACAAATAAAATAATGATATGAAATGACATCTTTTTGTGCATATGACAAGTTTTTTAAACTATTAACTGAACTTTGAATAATCTTAGTTCAACATCATGTGTGCAGATAACTGAGTCAGAAGCAGTTTAGAGAGGTCAAAGCTCAGTTTGGGGATTTCTGGAAATGAAGGAGGAAGGCTGACAACATATGAGGTTTCACAAAAGGGTCCTTGTATACCAAAGGGTGTGTTGACTTAGAATCAAAGGATGTGAGTATTTACATGTGAAGGTAAAGGTTCAAGTAATACACATTCAGGGAAATAAAATTATATGATGGAATAAAGAAAGGGAAATATGTTCAGTTCCTTGTGGCACGATACAAGCCCACCTGCAGAGCAGTATCCAAAAGAGAATAACTCCATTTGAAGATCCACAGAAAAAGTCAAGTCTTTCCAGTGTATGGGGAGGATTAGCAGGGGCTTCAACCAGTTCAGGGTTCCAGCATTTCGGCTGCTGAGCCTCAGAATAATATAGAATATACCCAATGACTTCCATTTGGTCACTGCTGTAATGCCATAAACCATATAAAGTTGAATATCAACTCTTTTTATTGCGAGAATAGCTATACCAGGAATAGATTCTAAAATGGTTGAACTTTAACAACTTCAACAGTTGTGTATTTGAGAATCTGCACGTCAGATCATGTGTAAAGAATCCAAAGTCTCGATATTTTAGGTTACAATTAAAAAAAAGTCAGTTTTAGCATCAACCAATGATTTCATAGGGGTTATTCAACTTGGACGGCATAAAGATAAAATCAACAACAAAACAAATGTGGATTGCTTAAAGGTGCCTTTTTGGTGTGTTTTTTTAGATTTATGGTTTAATACCCATTTTGTGTTTTTTTTTTTTTTTCTGGATGTATTTGAGTTCTTACACCATCATGCTTTTAACCAAAGGAGATTTGCTAAAAGGTAAACAGTCCATAGAAGATTATATAGAAAAAAATTGTGATGACTCCTTTAAAAAGATTTTCAGTGACTGTGGGGGAAGGTATCATTTGCTTGACAACAATGACATCCAAAACCGCAGACAGGTAATGGAGCTGATCAGGAAGATTGACACCTTGGTGGAAAAAAATGGATGCTTCACCAATGAGATGCTGCAAGAGGCAGAGATAGCCATAGAGAAACAAATTAATCTAATCCTTGTGGAGAAAGATGAAGAAATGCAGAAAGAAAAAAAGCTATTGGAAGAAAGACACAAGAAGGAGAAGGAGGAGATGGAGAGAAGAATGGACGAAGAAAGAGCAAATATTGAAAAGGAGTTTAAGAAAAAAGAAGAAAAAATTAAACGGATTGAGAAAAAACTTCAGCATGCTCAAGAAGAAAAAATGAAAGAACATCAACATAGAAAAGAAGAAGAAGCTAAATGGAAATCTGAGAGAGAGGCTTTGATAGGAAATGTTTACCCAAATTCTCATGAATTTGAAGATTTGAATGAAAAAGTTTCTGGTTTCCATAACTTTGACCAAAACCAAGAAAATGGTAAATTCAAAATGATAGAGGACTTGGAGAAAGAGATGGAAGCTTTACGCGAAAAATGGGAAGAAGAGGACAAAAAGAGGGAAAAGGAAAAAGAAAAACTTGAACATGATTATGAGAAAGTAAAAGATGATTATACAAAACAGATGGAAGAGGATAAAATCAGAAAAGAAAAAGAGGTTATGGACATACAGAAACTGGAGGATGCATTTCGGCAGGATTTAGAGAAAATAAAAGAAAGATATCAGGATGAAGCGCGACAAAAGCTGAAGAGCTCAATGAGTTTAAAGACAAATATTTGAAAGAATTTACAGCCCAGATGCAACAGAAGGATGAAAAGTATAATATGCTAAGGGCCCTCAAAGACATGAGTGAAAATAAACACAGAAAGGAAATAGCTGACTTGGTGAAATGCATCACTAGAAAGAAAGAGAATGTGAGAAAACTAAAGGACATGCTGTCAAAACAAGAAGAGGAGCGGAAAAAGGCAAAAAGTCTACAGGAATGCAAACAACAGGGGGACTTGCATGATAAAGAGCTAAGTGGTCTGATTCAGCAGCTCCTGGGTGAAACTGATGTAAAAACTAGCTGTGTCATTTCATGAAAAATGGCATATGGTGCCAACATGATGACTAAAGAGTTAATCTCCATAATTTGGGCTTCATCTTTATGGACATTAGCAATATCACATTTATTAGAAAAACAACCTGCTGATAATTATTTTGAAAAATATATCAATATGGGTGATAATTATTTTGAAAAATATATCAATATGGGTGATATCTTCCTCTGGTTTCGATGTATGGTCAAGATGTCTGTTGATGCATTTTAACTTTTATGTCTATTACTTGAATTTGAATGACAACTGGAGGTTCAGCTGAAGATACATGTCTGAAATTATTAAATTGAGTTCAGTTCAATTCAAAATTGTTTAATCTCGAAAGGAACATTGAATGTTGTAGTTTTTATTTTTTATGAGTTGTTGTTCGTGTCACTCTATAAGAGGCTTATAGAAGATTTGCAGCATCTTGCTGCAAACACTGAAAGTTCTAAGCTTCCTTAAGAACTAGAGTACGCTCTGTTTTTTCTACAGATGTGTCTCCAGTAGAGTTCCAGGTGAACACGGAGATAGTTGTACTCCTCCACCACCTCCAATTATTCCCCTGGGATGTTAATAGCTTTAGACTTGTTCATTTTTTCTTTTGGAATATACAGTTATTTTCCTTGTTTTATTATAATTTTTTTTGTTTATTTTATTTTTTCCCCACTCAGGATGAGATGATGACCAAGCCATTAAGTGGTTAAGCTACTTTGTGTACTTAGCTCATTGCCCATCTCTGATGAATCCAACAACAACTCTGGTAGTCACCAGAGTGTTTCTCCAGATGACAGGACTCTGTCTTGTACTGGTAGTTTTTGATCCAAGTAATTATTGAGTCTTCCGTTGAGTCTCGAGTCTTCCTGACAGAGCAAATCCGGTTGAATCATAATAAATGCATTGGATTAATTGAAGAACATGACAGCCAGAGTGCAGTCTGCAAAGTCTAAATGTGGAGTGTGAGTTGTTAAGGCAACTATATGATGCTGTCTTCAACTATACGATGTAGGATGTCAGGGTAACAGGTCTGTAGTCATTGAGGACTAATGACTGTTTTCTTGGGTACCAGAACAACGCCTGAGGTTTTTCATCACACTGAACTGTTAACTGAGTCAGGCAGAGGTTGAAGAGGTACTGTAGAATCTCACAGAGCTGCTCCTCATGGGCACACAGAACTCTGAGACTGACACCAACCGAATCTGGTGACTTATTCTGATGCATCACTTTAGTTGCTTCCACATTTGAACTCTAGAAAAGAAAGACAAAAGAGGAAGACAAATGGGACAAAGACATAGAATCAGGACTGTCAACTGCAGAGATGTAGGATAAAACATTTGAGGTGACAGAACAATTTTGGGTCACAAGTGTGTGAGATGTTGATTTTCTTGTGGGCAAGTTAGAAGGATGCTAAGCCTTTTCTTGAACTGAACCTTTTGTGTTTAGTTTAGAACCTGTCTTTAATTTAATGGCTTTGTCCAGATGCAATCTTGATTTTTTTTTTTTTTTTTTGCAGAGAAAGATCATCAAGATGTTATTAATTGATTAACATTAAATAATGTACAGGGATTATTTCATGGTTTCAATGCATTTTCAAAATGAAGGTGGTCTAATTTTGATGATGTTTTTTTGCATCTGTAACATAATATTTGACATATTGACTGAATTTTGATGTATTTAATTTCAACACCACATGAGCAGATGATTAACAGAGAGCTATTAGTAGAGGTCAAGGCTGAATTTCAGGATTATTGTAAAGAAAGGAGGGAGACCAATTATAAAGGAATTTGCACATCCAGGAACTTTGTATATCAAATGATGTGTTAACTAAAGAACTCTGTAGTAGAAATTGCATAATGCAGAAGTGTGCTAGCTTAGGGACTGGGGAAAATCAATAATGGGATAAAGGGGAATTTTGTTGAATTTCATGTGTAAAAAGACCACTTTACATTAGTGCAGAGGAGAGGACAGAAGAGGAGTATAGCCTTGGAAAATCCAAGGACAAAGCCAACTCTCTGGAGTGCCCTGCAGTGCCGTCTGCAGCCCAGTTGTTGGGCGTGCCTGTTGGCATGCCCA